CACATAAAATAAAAATAAATATTTTCTTAAAAAGACCCCTGGGTAGCACGATACAACAATGTCCATTGCCAACCTTGCCAGGGGAAAGCAAACGGCTCTTGATGTGCTACATAATGCTACTGACCCAAAGTCACAGGTCTTCTCTTCGCCCCAGAGCTGCTCCGGCTATCGGAAACACAGGGCTTTCTCCAAGTGACGCGTAGGCCACACGGGGGCGCTGTCTGGCTGTGTTTTGCCCTTATTATATCAGCTTTTCTCCCAAGCAACCAATACTGCGCAGACAAGTTGGCAGCCCTTGTGGGAAGGGGTGGCCCTTCACCATCGGCTTTATAGTCTTCCCAAAATATCCACCCACCAGGAGACACACTACGGTTCACTTGACTGGAGTCCCAGCCCACCAAAACCAGAAATGTGAGCGTATTTATAAAGTTAGATGTGTCTGAGCAGCCAGACTCCGTCCCACGCAGCATCAGCACCTGAAAGGATGCCAGAGGCAGGGCTAGGGGTTGGGGGAGCACCCGACCGCTCGGCTCACAGAAGCCAACTGTTCCCAGACAGGGCCGACCCTGTGCGCTGCTCATCCAGCATGGCCCCTAGCGGAATTGTTTACAATGGGAAGCCTAGCACACTTCTAACTCTCAGACTATCCGCATTAAGTCTGTGGAGAGTTCTGTTTACTAACCGCTGACGCTCGCCAGCTCACAGCAGGTGCATCCCAGATGACACCTGGCCCATTAGCTAGGGTCCTCCCTGATTCTTTGGTCCCAGGACCTGTAGACTCTGCTTCTTAGAATAGGTTATAATGGAGACTAATTTTAATGCCTCCTCCACAGTCAGCAAGAAACTATCTGCCCGTCCCCGAAACGCAGTAACCAGGTAAAGAGCAGCTCCCCTGGGCTCAGAACTACTGCAGAGCCGTTGTAACATAAGGGTTGTAGCGCATACGTTCTGTGGCTGTTCTCTGCTCCCCGCCGGACAGCTTTGGCCCAGGCGCTGTCTTAAATGACAAACTCAGGCTTCTCATTTCTCTCTTGGTTCTCGTCTTGTGCGCTTTGGCTTCTCAGCACTTTGTCCTGCGAATGCAGATTCTGCACTGCCCCTCCCCCAGCGCTGGGACTAGACCCTTGGTACGCTCGCGCATCTGCTAGCCTGTGCTCTAATTCTGAGCTACAGGCACAGGCCGTCCTTAAGTTATAGTAATTGATTCGTTTCCTACACCCCTATCTTGGGATTGTTTACCCCAAATGGGGATTTAGGTGGGGTTCCCTGGTCTTCGTTGCAGTTCTACTTGGATGAAAAGGATTTAAAGTCCACCTTTAAACCATGAGCTGTCAGGCTTGCATTCTTTTGTTGTTTTTGTTTTGTTTTTCGAGACAGGGTTTCTCTGTGTAGCTTTGGAGCCTGTCCTAGAACTTGCTCTGTAGACCAGACTGACCAGAGATCCACCTGCCTCTGCCTCCAGAGTGCTGGGATTAAAGGCATGCACCACCACCACCTGGTGAGAGCTTGCCTCTTGTAGTAGGGGACAGAGAAAACCCAATGGGAATGGCAGGAGTCTGGAAAACTCAAAACCCACCCACCCCCAGGGACACACCTCCTCCAACAAGGCCACACCTTCGATTCCTTCCCAAACAGTTCCACCGATCGGGTCCAAGTTTTCAAACATATGAGCCCATTCTCATGCAAACCCCACAGGCTCATGGCCATATCATAATGCACAGTGCATTCCGCCTAACTTCAACAGTCCTAATGTTTAAAAGTCCGAAGTCTCCTCAGACTCAAGGCAATCATTTAATGTAATATAAAGACTAATGTTAGGTTTCAAATTTAAGTTACTGTGCTTAAGAGATCTATAACACAGAAATGTCCCTAACCTGTAAGCCCCACTTGCCCAAAGATAGAGAACTTTCTGGAAAGCTGGAGGCTGTGTCTACATGTTCCTGCTTCTGAAAACAGGCTAGATTGCCCAGCTGCACAGGATGTTTGGTTACATGTAGGTAGAGGAAAGAGTGAGATCAAAGTACGTTGTATGAAAGTCTCAGAAGAAATGAATAAAACTATTTTTAATCTCCTATCTGGTGCCCTCTTCTGGCCTGCAGGCATACATCGAGGCAAAACACTGTATACATAATAAATAAATAAAATCAAGAAGAAGACCTCTGGGAGAGCAGCCAGTGCTCTTAGCTGCTGAGCCATCTCTCCAGCCCCTATGATGATATTTTTAAGTCACTGGATATGTGCCTAGAGTCAGGGAAGCCTCCCTGAGAAAATAAATTTTTAAGATGAAGCCTCCTGAATATTAATCAGGAGAAAGGCATTCAAGAGATATTTGCTGGATGAAGCACTGTAGGGAGAGGGAAGGCTTACGCAGAAATTATGAAGCACAAGGGACTTTGCCACGTCTGTGAAATGCGAACAGGCCAGGAGAGATGAGGCTAGAGACAGATGGCATGGCCACTGCCATCCATGGCAAAGAGTCACCCTCCACCTCGTTTCTGCAGACTTGGCAGGAAGCACAGGGCCTGATGCCAGGGCTCTGCTCAGCTTCTTGGAATTCTCTAAGTGTAAAAAGATGTAGGTGGAAAAGTTGAAGACACAGGCAAGAAGGAAAGGCCCATTATGAAAGAGGAATGAGAAGCAAGATTCCTCCTCAAGAGGAAACAAAAGTAAAATTCATGCCAGAACTCAGAAGGCCAAGGCGACGTGAGTCCAACAACTGCCCAGGCCAAGTGACAAGCACCAGCAGGGTCACAAAGCAAGTTTTCATCTCAAACACAGCTACAGCGGTGGTTCTCAACCTTCCTAAAACTGCAACCCTTTAATACAGTCCCTCATGTTGTGGTGACCCCCCAACCATAAAATTATTTTCGTTGCTCTTCATAGTCGTAATTTTGCTACTATTATAGTTGCAATGTAAAAACCTGCTATGCAGGTGGTCTTAGGCAACCCGTGAAAGGGCCATTTGCGACCCACAGGTTGAGAACCACTGAGCTACAGGCTCCTTGACCCACCCAAAGGAGCTTATAAGGGTTAATTTTGTTGTTTAAATTACTCTCTAAGTTTTAGGAGTATAGGTGTTTCACCTGTACACATATCTGTGCACGGTGTGCATGCCTGGTGCTCTCAGAGGTCAGAAGAAGGCACTGAACCCCCAGAACTGAAGCTACAGACAGTTATAAGTTGCCTTGAGGATGCTGGGAACTGAACCCTGGAAAAGCAGCTAAGTACTCTTAACTGCTAAGCCATCTCTTCAGTCTGTGATGCTTAATCTCAACTGTCAACTGTCAAGAGATCAGTAGTGTATCTATGGGGTATCACTTGAGGACATTTCCAGAAACAAGTCAGGAAGGTTCTGACCAAATGATGGAGTCACAGTGTTATGACATAACTGGAAGATGGGAGATGGGGACCTGCTTGAAGAAGTTAGGTCCCTGGGGTGTGTCCTTGGAGCTGTATCTAGTCCCTTTCTTCTGGTTCCTGGCCACCATGGTGTGTGCTGTTCTGACTCTCCACACCTCTGCCGTGGTAAGGCAATGTCTTCCTTCCTTAGTTGCTCCGCTCAGCTGGTTTGCTGCAGTAGTTACAGTAACTGACAGAGGTGCCTTCGCCTTTGTCCTCGCCTGACTTTGACTATCGACCCAGAATCAAGGGCAATCATTCCGACCTACCACCATCAGCTGTATTCCAGAGAAACTGGGGGGACGTGGATGATCACTGCTGCAGAGGACAAACAGCTTTGTTAGCAGAAACGGATAAATACAGGGAAAACAAAGAAAATACATGGCTATCCAAAGAGCTAAAGGAAGGCCAAAGGCAGCGACAAAAGGGCTGGAAAAAGAGAAAATGACTACAAGGAAAATGAGGAGGATGAGAGTCAGGAAAGATGAAAAGAGAATAATGAAGATGATTAGTTTTTCTTTGTCTATAAAACATTTAACCCTTGGAGTGGAGACATAGCTCAGAGGTTGAGAGCACTGCCTGCTCTTCCAAAGGTCCTGAGTTCAATTCCCACCAACCACATGGTGACTCACAACCATCTGTAATGGGGTCTGGTGCCCTCTTCTGGCCTGCAGGGATATACACAGACAGAATATTGTATACATGAAAGAAAGAAAAGGAAGGAAGGGAGGGAGGGAGGGAGGGAGGGAGGGAGGGAGGGAGGAAGGGAGGGAGGGAGGGAAAGGAAGAATTCCTAGACTGTAGGTTTATTTGTATAGTTGGTGTGTGGATCTTTTCTTGCACAGCAAGAATCAAATAGAGTTGCTCTGGTGATATTCCAGAGTTACTAGCCTTGCTAATAGAGAGGTTATAAATGACACGGAGCATTAGTAAAGCAAACCCTTGTGTGTGCACAGTAAGATTCACTGTCTCTGAGGTAGCTGACTGAAGTAATCAACTGAATTGAAAGTCTTGCAGCTACTCTGCAGACATTCTGGGTGCTTCTAAACATAATTTGTATGGCACTGAAGCAGGCTTTTTAAAAGGTTTGTGCTGGACAGTTGTGACAGCAGCACTCTGGTGGAAGGCAGATGTAAGCAAACCTCTGAGTTCAAAACCAGCCTGGTGTAGAGTTCCAGTTCAGGGCTACGGAGAAACCCTGTCAGAAAGACACGTGATCAAAGTGCTTCCCTTCGGTCTGTTGTTGAACTACAGGTTTTCAGGTCTCTCCTGGGCTTCTACGAGTGACGCCCACTCCTTTACAGTACATCATTTAGCTTAGCTTCTGTTCCTTTAGCCTCCCACTCTGCCTTTCCATCTTCCCCTTACTTTCACTTCTCATTTCTGCCACGTTTCCTAGCTTAGGCTGACTTCCCAACCTTAGAGGTTGGCTGGAACTCAGCACTAATAGCTGAGCGCAGTCTCCCTAGCTCCCTCTTGTGGTCAGTATTAGCCACTGCAGTCATGGTGCATTCCTGGGGGTGGGGAAAATGACCAGACTGGATGGGACATGGTAGGTAGGACACCAATGACACACCCAAGAAATTATTCCACCCAAGTAGTTCAGTAAACTGTTGGAGTTTATTGGTTTGCTTACAGAAGCATGGTACATCACTGAAAAAGTTCACCCCAACATTGTGACAACTCAGGCAGATGTCGCATGGCTGGAGCTCCCTACACAGCCTGCTGAGAGCTGGTTTACAGAAAGTAATTACTGCTTATATATCTTTGGGAAGACTTAAGAACCTTGTAGGCTTTAGGAACTTGCTAAGATCTATATATAAGTTTCATTGACTTCCTGATTCTTTGGGCAGCTAAGAGGATACTAATAAAGGAATGATAGTGAAGTCCAATACAGCACAAAAGGACCTCAGCAATGTTGGCTACAGTGACATGAATAGGCACCGCCATCCCACCCAGCCCTCCAACCTTGTCACAATCCTGCAGCGTTAGTGTGGGGCCTGTCTCCCCAGCACTGATGGTCTTGGTGGGGTGGATCACAGCTTGGCCTGGCTCAGGTTCAACAGATGCACACTGGCCTTTCATCACTGCTGTTTGGCCCAGCTCCCTTCTGACAGTCCCTGGCCCAGTACTATGGACTTTCCATTGGCCAAACCTGATGTGGCTGTTTGAATGAAAAATGTCCACCAGTCTCTGGCATTTGGACACTTGATGGCAATTTTTGGAGTCTTAGGTGATGCAGACTTGCTGCAAAAAGTTGGGCTTTGAGATTAAAAGCCTTCAGTTTGCTGTTTCATGCTTGTAGTTAAGGCTATGAGCTCTCAGCTTCCTGTCGTCATGCCATGCCTTCTTATCCCTTCTGGAACCATAAACCTTAGTCAGAACCAACAAGAAAGTAACTGAAATACTTGAAAGCAGGCTGGGCTGGCCAATGACCTTCACCTTAGCACACCTTCATGCAGGGAGAAAGTACAGCTCATACAGTAATGGGATAAGGGCCACCCCAGAGTATAATCGTCCTCACGGTTTAATTACTTATGTTTTCTGTGTCCAGGCTTCAGAAGCGTCTGTCAAACGTTTCCCTAAAACCAGCCTGACACAAACCTCACCATATATTACCCCCTTTGTAGACCATTCTTTCATCTCCTCTGTGGGGTTCAACCAAGACCCTAAAGCACTATACAGTCTTGACCCCACCACTGAACTAATCCTCCAGTGAACACAATTCCATCTGTCACTTCTCTCACGCGGTTTCTCCAGTAATGCCCGTCTGGGGATAGAAATATTATGTACCTTTCCCATCAGACAGCACTGAAGTCCCAGGAAATAATACAGAGACTCAAATACAAAACAAAAACAAAAACTCCACAAATTCAATTCACACTACTTTACATTTCCATAACATTTTACCATTTAATAGAAACTATATACAACAATTTTGCTGTAATTTACACGAGGGAATCCACCAGACATTTACATAAGTTAAAGGCAAGGACAATTAAGGAGAGCCCAGATATGTGAGGTGAGCTGCTTCAGTCACTAGGAACAGGGTTTCTACTGCCCAGCTATGTGGAACCGAGGAAAGGGTTGATCACAGGTCTTTAGATACAGACGGACAGACATGAACGGCCAGCACCTCAGGACCATAGCCCCTGCTTAGATGGATTTCATCCATGGCTTAGGAAATCATATCGCCAAAACGTCTCTTTCCCAGGCATAGTCTCCAATATTCATTCCATCCCAAAGGCAGGGACTACCACACCCTCTTCCTTGCAAAGAATCCTGTAACTTTTAAATACGAAAGATGCATTCCTCACAAATTTGGCTCATGTTGGCTTTTAGCACTGTATAGGCCCGAGGAAACACCATGCAGTCTGGGTTGCCCTGTTCAGTGAGAGATGACCGGAGATAAACTTGTTTGAAGAATGAGAAGTTCAGATCCACCAAAGTCAAGCAATTCTCAGAATCAACTATCAACTGATAGAAGTGGGCTCTGGTTTTCCATTTGCAGTAGCCAATCCACGCTGAGGGAATGATGCACAGGCTTTCTCTAAATTTCGAGGTCCCTGGGATCTGGACCCGTCTCCAGACACCTGCATCTGGCCCTAATAAATAGAAGTTCTTTGGTTAGAGACTTATCCAATGGTTCTGAAACATAACCCTGATTTATCAATGCCCATTTACAGTAGCTACAAGAAAAAGAAGTAACAACGTGGCTGCTCTCCCCAATACTCTGATGTCCCTGAGAATCAGAAAAGTCTGTACTGAAGCTGTCAAAGGACGGAACAGAGGGTTGTTTCTTCCAAATGAGAAAGTCATTCTCTACTGAGGTTCCAGAAGAGCTGATAACTCACAAGAAGATAGTTCTTTAGGCCTCTGCTTGAAACCAACAGCTACAGTATAACTGCTAGTCTTCAGTTAGAGCCATTAGCAACCTCCCTCAGTCTATTTTTTTCTTTTTTTTTTTTTGGTTTTTTGAGACAGGGTTTCTTTGTAGCTTTGGTTCCTGTCCTGGAACTCACTTTGTAGACCAGACTGGTCTCGAACTCACAGAGATCCGCCTGTCTCTGCCTCCCGAGTGCTGGGATTAAAGGCGTGTGCCACCACACCACCTGGTCCCCTCAGTCTATTCTTAAGAACAATTAGAACGATGAACTCTGCCTTAGAAGGGACAATTTACCCAGCATCCTCCACTCAGATAAATGTATGCCCTACTCTTGAGGATTGGCAACCATCAGAAGTTCTACAGCTCATTTGGAAAATTAGTGTAAGATGGGTATTCAAAGAGAGAAAAAGTTGTTTCATGTTTTGTTTTTGTCAGTGCTGCACATTAAACCCAGGACTTCATACCTTAACTGTAAGCATAAGGTCTATGCTGGCTGGTTCTATGTCAATTTAACAGTCTGGATCATTTTGGAACCTCAACTAAGAAAATGGGCCCTCCACACTGATCTATCAACACTACTGTAGTGTATTTTCTTGATTGATGTGGGAGGGCCAAGCTCATTATGAGCAGTGCCACTCCTGAAGTCCTAGATGGTGTAAGAAAACTGGCTGAGTAAGCCAGCAGTGTTTCTCCATGGCCTCTACATCAGTTCCTGCTTCCAGGTTCCTGCTCTGATTTCTCCCAGATGAATTGTTACTTGAAGCATAAGATGAAATAAATCCCTTTCTCCCCAAGTTGCTTTTAATCATGCTGCTTATCACAATAGAAACCCAAGAACAATATCTATTGGTGAACTATATTTCTAGCTTGAAAGGGGTATTTTCATTTTATGGTACCCAGTGAGAAAACCACCATCTTGGGCACTTTTACACTGTTTGGAAATATTCCCTACTTCCTGAACTCATGCCAATCCACAGGGAAAACCTCCGCCTGGCCTGGTCATTATATGAGGGAATCTAGCAAAGATTCAGTTGTCAAGATACCCACCGGGCCTCCAGCAATTTCTTTGACGGAATGATCTTCGAGAGTTAGTGAAGGATCAAAAAGTAAGGGTGAAGGAGGGCACGGCATGCCATCACCCACCACATCCAGGTCCTGGGAAAGAAAGAGGAAAGCCTATCAGCAATATTTACAAAATCAATGAGCTAAAATTGACATAATTTTCAGCAAAGTTCAAAGTAATTCTCAGGTTCCCCTTTCCCCCTTGCTTAGAATGCTAAACCAATCAAACATGAGCCAACAATATTGAAAATTTTCTCTTAGCTGATAATGAAACATAAATCAAGAAGCAGATTCCTAGGAGAAATCATAGAAAGTATAACAGTGACTAACATGAGTAGAGGAAGAGCAGGCTTAACAGGGATACAATCTGTGTGAACCAATAGAAGAATCCAAGGAAAAGATACTAGTAATGACTGCACAACACATGAGTATCAATACCACTGAACTGTAAACTTGAAAGTGATTAAAGTGATAAATTTTATTATACATGTTTTATTATAATAAACACCAACAAAACAAAACAAACCCCCCAGGACAAGCAGATGACTCAATGAGAAGAGGTACTTGCTATAAGTGTGACGAACTAAGTTTGAACCCCAGAATCCACATGGAAAGAGAAAATGGACTCCTACAAAGTTGTGATGTACTTTTACACACGTGTGTAGAGAGATGGAGAATATTTTTAAGAAGATGGCTCAAGGAGTAGTCACTTGCCATCAAGCCTAGTGACTCATATTCAGTCCCCTAGTGCTCCACAGTGGAGGGAAGAACGAATTCAGTGCATACCACAGCATGTAGACATGTATGTGCGCTCACGTGTGCATACCATTGAAAATAAATGTAATAAAAAACATATTCCCTCGGAGGCTAGTTACAGTCAGTCATCATCTAAGCTCCTCACTGAAGTATATGGAAAGAACAATCAGCGACCAGATAAAATAACATGAAATCCGCTGGAAAACATTCACAAAGCAAGCAACTAAGAGAAAAGGAAGGTAGGAAAGAGAAAGAACCACAGAAACTCAAACTTCTCTCAATGGCAAAGACATAGTATTTGGCTAATTCCCTACTCCTAGCATAAGCTTCAGTTCTACCTGAAGTCAGGGTCTCTCACAGCAGAAAGATGATCATCCTGAACTACATGTATTCCCAGTCCTCTCCTCTCCATTTCTACTTTGAGATGGATCTTACTAAGATGACCAGGCTAGCCTTGAACTCACCCTGCAGCTCAGGCAAGACTTGAACTTATGACGCTTCTGCTTCACCTCACAGTAGCTGGGATTACGGGCCTGTGCCACCTGGCCCAGCTAAGCCTCTGAGTTTTAAACTTAACATAGTTCAAGTATTCTGTTTAAAAAAAAAAAAAAAGACATTATATTCTAGACTATACTTTTCCCACATGAATCAGCCATTCCCAGAGATAATGAGAATCAGCAGACCAAAGACATCGTTCTTGGCTCCTATCTGAAACCAACATTGATTTAGTGCCCAAGTCACTATAATGGTTCAAGTACTATGTCAACCTAAGTTCCATGACACTTGACAATAGCACAGTTAATGCTTTTAAGTTACATCTAAGAACTTACAGGTCCCACATTAAAGAACAGATGGGGGAGGGAAAAGAAAAAGGACACTAAGTAAGAAAAGGTAACAGGGAAGCGATTATGAGCAAAGCATGTTACACGCATGTATAAAGAGACCACAAGGAAACCTACCATCTTACACAACTGTTAGGTACTAATAAAAAAAGTCAGTTTTTATTATTAGTGTACTAACCACCAGGAATAAAAATCATAACCTCTTCATAATTAAGGTGGAGAAAACTGTCAAATTATCTATTCCCCTTAAAAGTCTAAAAGTCTGAAAGCTAATGCCAGACACAGAACTTGACTACCATGAAGCAGGAAGCAAAGGCAAGAGGATCTCTGTGCCTGGTCTACTTTAACTAAAATAAACAAAAAGTCAACCATAATTCAACTGGAGGCCGGAGAAATAACTCAGCAGTTAAGAGCACATGCTGCGCTTCCAGAAAACCCAGGTTCAATACTAACACCACATGGAACTCCACACAGAACTATAACTCAAGATCAGATCTGACACAGCTTTTGACCTCTTAGGGCACATACATGCAGGCAAAACACCCATACAAATAAAATAAAGACATATCCTAAAATAAATAAATAAAAAGTTTAAGAGCCACGCATGGGTGTGCATACCTTTAATCCCTGAACTCTGGAGGTAGGTAGAGGCAGGTAGATCTCTGAGAGAATTCAAGACCAGCCTGGGATACATAATGTATTCTTTTAAAATATCTTAAAAGACAGCAGCAATTTAAACACACTGCTCAGTGTAAGGAAAAACACAAAGAAACAGTCACAGTTACTAGTATCCATTACAGATGTACTGGAAATATCTATGCCCTTCACAGAAAGCAGTGTTCTCACAGGACTGAGACTGTGGACACTTTGTTTCCTGCAATCTTTTTTAAAAGCTTGGGACCACTGTTCACAGCTCTTTCCATCCACCTGTACACAACATATACACAAAGTCTATTTGTGAGAACAATTTCCTGCGAATGCCAGAGACTGGTCAAGAGATTCTTGTGTAGGAGTGGACAGGAAAAGCAGCAAGCCCAAGCAGGAAGCCTGCTCTGGGCTCTACTCCATAACTGGAGTCTCCCAGGTCCTCCCTCAGGAAAGGAGGTCTGTACTTGAAAAGTTTCCTCATCGCTAAGTACTTTAACTCACTAGAAACAGAGAGGATGACATATTTTGAGTCTCTAGATCACAATAGAAAAGAAAAAAAAATGTTAAGATTTATTTATAATAAGGACAAGCACTCCAAAGGGCTTCATTTCCTGAGAGTCACATAAGGAGGTGTTTAAATTTCCCCTTAAAATTCGCACTCCAAATTTATGGCTAAGAGGTTCGCAGACTGCACCCTAAACTGCCCAGCTCTGAGAGCAAAACAGGATTGGCATCATCTCTCTCAAAACCATAGAGGGCAATGTAGTGTTCTACAAAACAAAATCCTTCCCAGGAACTTCAGCCCCTGGAAGAGGTGAGCTCAAGGTCTTCTCTCTTGGTAGAGTTTTACATCACACATCAGTTGCCCCATCAATCTTCATTCTAAATCCCTCAGCTCTGTGAACATAAGAAACCATGCAGGCTCAGTGGTTAGGATTATTCATTACTCTTGCAGAGGACCCAGGTTCCATTACCAGCATCCACATGGTGGCTTACAACCTGATTTAACTTCAGTCCCAGGGGATTATAACCTCTTCAGGTTTCTGATGCCAGGCATCCATAGGGTGCACATACATACATGCAGGCAAAACACACATATAAAATAAGTATTTTTTAAAAAGGAAAAAAAAAAATCAAATGCCAGTCTTCTTAGGTCATGGTACAAAGCTGGGCTTAAAGTAGCAAGCAAAAATGATAGAAATATTCAGATCCCGTACAGAACAGCATCAAAAATTAAATTAGAATTCAATCAAGTGAAATCCACACATTGATTAAATTTTGGAATAAAACGTCAATTAAAAATAAACCTTCTTAGCTGGGCAGTGATGGCACACCTCTTTAATCCCAGCACTTGGGAGGCAGAGGCATGTGGACCTCAATGAGTTTGAAGCCAGGCTAGCCTACAAAGCAAGGAAGGAAAGTGAGGTATTGCAACACTCAGGAAGCAGAAGACAGTAGGACCTCTCTGAGTTTGAGGCCAGCCGGGTCTACAAAGCGACAGTCAAAGCTACACAGAGAATCCCTGTCTTGAAAAGCAAAACAAAACAAAAACTGAGTATTAAAGATTATTGTATTTCTTTTTGAGGTGGTAAAAACATCCTCAGATAGTAACAATAGCTGTCTGCATATAAATATCTACAATAATAATAATAAATCTCTGAACTCTTCTTCCAATCACATCCCAAAGTAATAAAGGAGGCCAGGCCCAGGAGGTCTATGCCTCTAATGCCAACACATATGAGACAGAAATAAAAAATCACGAATTCGGGTTCAACTCAGGATACACAATGAAGCCCTGTCTCACAAGAAAAGTCTGGGGAGGAGAAAAGGTAGGACAGAAAGTATATAATAAAGTAACAAACATATTCAACAACATCTGTATCATGTGAAAAGCTTTATCCATCCTCTTGGCTGAAAACCACTAACTATTCTCACCACTAATAAACAGGGCCTTCTTTCAAGGACCAATCAGATTAGAGCTTCTCTAACTTACATCACTGAACTCCAGTGGTAAACTCTCAGTGGGCTGAAGCTCGGCAGCACTCAAGTACAGATCCATGGGGCCGGCTTCCAGATCGTCTGGCACAGACAGTACCTGCTCGGGCTTATACATCTGAGGAGGCAACTGGAAATGCAGTGGACAGCAGGGATCCTCAGAGAGGCTTACAGGAACTGGTTTGTTGCAGGGTACCTCCTCAGATCCCTGGCAGCATTTGAAGAGAACCTGATTTGTATCCTGGCAAATATCTGCAGAAACAGTTAAGAAAACAGACCCAACCAATCGGAGGCACACAGTACAGGCGCACGCGCCAGGCCAAACACACACATATACACCCCACTACTCAGAGAACGACTACGCTTTTATAGAAACCCAAATGCAATGAGTAATTTTTAGTTCTTCAAATTACTGTTATTTTGCAGCACATAATTTTAGCCCTACCAATAATTTATAACTCATCTTCAATCTCTTTTCCAGGATTCTGGTCAGTTATACGAGCGACACTACATGCTAAGAGGCAATAATAACGCCAAGGAACATACACTGACAGAGAAAACCCATATTGTAACAAAGAAAAACAGAACATTGTTCCTAATAGCATGACACATTCACTTGGAACCGAAGAATTCACTATGTACCTCTTCATCTTCCCACCGTTACCTCTGAAGTGCTGGGGTCACAGGTATGAGCCACTATGACTGATTCTTAAAAAAAACTTTTAAGGTAAATTTTTTTTTTTTAAATAGAAGCATTTTCTTTTTTTTTTTTAAATATTTATTTATTTATTATGTATACAATATTCTATCTGTGGTGCAGGCCAGAGGAGGGCACTAGACCTCATTACAGATGGTTGTGAGCCACCATGTAGTTGCTGGGAATTGAACTCAGGACGTTTGGAAGAGCAGGCAATGCTCTTAACCTCTGAGCCATCTCTCCAGCCCTTAAGGTAAATTTTTTAAAAAGTTGTTTATTGGGGGCTGGAGAGATGGCTCAGAGGTTAAGAGCATTGCCTGCTCTTCCAAAGGTTCTGAGTTCAATTCCCAGCAACCACATGGTGGCTCACAACCATCTGTAATGAGGTCTGGTGCCCTCTTCTGGCCTGCAGACATACACACAGACAGAATATTGTATACATAATAAATAAACATTTAAAAAAAAGTTGTTTATTTGTTGACACAGGGTCTCTTTACAAAGCCCTGGCACTCACTAGACCAGTCTGGCCTCAAACTTTGCTAGCCTCTGATTCCTGAGTGCTGGGATTAAAGGTATGCACCACCATAACCAGCTAAAAGGTTCTGTTTTTGTTGTTTGTTTTAATTAGCTTACACAGCAATAGGCTTCCTTAAGTATTTTGACAGCCATTTCAGTTGATTCTCATCCATTAACCCTTCTCATTCCAGCACTCTCCCCACTTTACTATCCCATGTGTTCTATTGGCTCTAATACCCTCCTTTGAAGGCCCTTAAACCACCACCTCATACATCACGGGCACTTCGCAGTTTCCTGGCCTTCACCTAGCCCAGTTATGGTTTATGCATTCATCTTTAGAGCCCAATACTTTACATAAACATTTATATACTAAGAGCAGTAACTCTAAACAACATGCGGTATCTAGTATACAACTGTAATCCCAGTACTAAGCCATTCAGACATTATTGTAAATTTTCCTTCCTATCAAAACAACTAAGAGAAGGTTCTATTCTCCATTTCTCTCTCTCCAGACAGGACACAAGTTTCACAGCCCACCAGCAAATGTAGTTCTACACCAAAAAGCAAACTGTATAACAGTGTATATTTGCAAATTAGAAAGAATGGGGGAAATAATCCATTTTTTTTTTTTAAGTTTCTAATTTGAGTAAATTAAAAACATACAAGTGGAGCTGGAGAGATGGTCAGAGGTTAAGAGCACTGGCTGCTCTTCCAAAAGTCCTGAGTTCAATTCCCAGCAACCACATAGTGGCTCACAACCATCTGTAATGAGGTCTGGTGCCCTCTTCTGGCCTGCAGGCACATATGCAGACAGACACTGTAAACATAATAAATAAATACAATCTTTAAAAACATACATCAGGGCACTAACCACACAAAAGGACATCATCGCACAGAAGTTCACAGTACAGAACAATGTTCTGGGCAGAAAACCCACAGCAATCTTTCTTCTTGGTAATAGATTTAACATATATATAACTTAAAAGAACAAAAGCTAAATCAATAATGAAGGAGTACAGAAAAATCTTGGAATGTCACCAAGACCAGCAGCTACCCACATCTGTCACCAAGGACCCAGTCCTTTCTTCAGCTCCCCTCTCCCCCACTTCACCCACCCCAGTGAGGGTTTTGCTGTGACCCAGGGCCTCTGTAGCTAGTGAAGCACTACAGCTACAGAGCTGGGTGTCACATCCAGCCAGATGTTTCTTTCTAATGAATTGACCATAACATTTTAAAATTTCTGAAATGGCCAACAGACCATAGAAAGACATTTATTTAGGCACCTGCTTGAAACCAACAGCTTCAGCAAACTAATGGCCTTGATTCAGGGCCAAAGTAAACAAAATCTTCAATTAAACTAGAAAATCAGAACCTAAGCAGGCGGTTTTAAAAGATACGGGTAAGGCAGTGTCTGGTCATTGGAAGAGACTGATTCGAGCAACGGACATCATCCACAAAGGCTAAGCACCTCTGACTGGAACGAGTGGTATGAGCCTAAAATCGAGAGAAGAAAAACAAATAAACCCACACAAGAAGCACATAACTATAACATTATTCAGTTATAAAAGCAAAGTCAATTCACGTTTAACAAACCTGTTCACCAATATTTTGTTGTGGTGGGTTTTTTGTTTGTTTTTGTTTTTCGAGACAGGGTTTCCCCCTGTAGCTCTGGCTGTCCTGGAACTCACTCTGCAGACCAGGTTGGCCTCAAACTTTGCCTCCCTCTACCTCCCGAGTGCTGGGACTAAAGGTGTGCGTCACCACTGCCTGACTTGGACATAGTGTGCTCATGATGATTCTATCAATAAAGAGAATATGCACACCCAGAGATATATAAGCAAATTACCTGTTGAGCAGCCCCATCTGTGGCCAGCATTCTGCGTTCCTTCAGCTGCCTATGTAGTAAGGCTTCTACTCCATAGCGTTGACGATATCGCCTAAGACATTTTAGTCGCTTTAAATTCTCTCTTTCTTTGGCTAAAAGTCCCTCTGGGCCAGTCAGGAGACTACTACCTAGAGAACCACAGAAATCAAAATTTTCAAACAGGATGTCAATCTATCTGGTCTTGAACTCACAGCAAACTCCCTACCCTGCTTCTCAAGTACTGGGATACTTACTATACACCCTCATCACTAAAACAAGTCAAAGTGTAACTTGTAACCAAGGATCCATTTCCAAATCTAAGCAAACAAGGACTCACTACACGACAGGCAGATTCAGCTACATCAAACTTGCCTAAAGCTTCATGCTCCACTTTTCGGTTGTGTAAGTAACGGCGCTTCTTCTCTTTGAGTAGGTGTTGTAGTCGTTTAAACTGATCAATGTACAAAGACTGCAATCGAATTAGCTTCTCTCTCATAATAAGAGCCACTTCTTCAGCTGTGTAGACACCAGCATGTCTGGAATAAAAGAATAAATTCAGCGAAACATTAAAGAAGCAGCAATAATAATGAATGACAAGCATGGTGATGCCTGCCTAAAAGCCCGGCACTTAGGTGGAGACACAAGAATCAGTTCAAAGCCTGCCTTGACCAAGCAGCAAATTCAAGGTCAACCTAGATATGAAACCCTATCTCAAAACAAAACAATAAAAATCTAAAAATAGACTCAATTTGTATTTGTTTTTGATAAAGACAATGCTAACTGACACACCTTAGTAAATAGGAATATTTTTTATTTAGTTATGCATGCAAGTATAAGGGAGGCCCTTAGTTCCATCTTCAGCACCAACAAAAGGTCCCAACAATCCAGTGCCCTCCCCCGTGTGCACGTGAGTGCTGATGAAGCTGTCAGGTGCCAGGGGCTGAAGTCAGAGGGACTCCTGAGTGTCCGCATGGGCGCTGGGACCTGAACAATTCTTTTTGGTTTTTTTTTTTGTTTTTTTTGGTTTTTCGAGACAGGGTTTCTCTGTGGTTTTGGAGCCTGTCCTGGAACTAGCTCTTGTAGACCAGGCTGGTCTCGAACTCACAGAGATCCGCCTGCCTCTGCCTCCCGAGTGCTGGGATTAAAGGCGTGCGCCACCACGGCCCGGCTCTTTTTGTTTTTTAATTTATTATATTTAAAAAAAAATACCAATCCAAGTTCCTACTCCTTCTCCCCCCTCCCATTCCCTCCACACACTCTCCCACCCCACCCCCTCACCATCCTCAGAGAGGGTAAGGCACATTGCCTTGTGGAAGGTCCAAGGCCCTCCCTACTACATCTAGGCTGAGCAAGGTATCCATCCAAAGAGAATAGGATCCCCAAAAGCCAGTACATGCAGTAGGGATAAATCCTGATGCCACGGACTCAGTCTGCCCCAGCCATACAACTGTCAACCACATTCAGAGGGACTAGTTTGGTCCTAAGCTTGTTCCTTCCCAGTCCAGCTAGAGTTGGTGAGCTCCCATTAGCTCAGGCAAACTTGAACAGATTCTTTGTAAAGAGACTCAATGGAGGGAGGTCTCTCCACAAAAGGATACCAAAATGTTATCTCACAAAACAGAACTAGAGGGGAGATGTCTCATTACTTACATATTTAAAATAAAGATGTGAAACATCAAAATTTTACTAACTAATCTACGTTCTACTTTTACACAGTAATTTAACAGAGACCCTCTGGTCAGAACAAATTAGTATTTTAATTATAAATATAACAGGGACAGAAGATGGCCCAGTGGTTGAAAGCAGAGGCCCTCAGGCTGATTTCCAGCACTCAGAGCTCATAATTCTTATGAGTTCAGAGGATCCAGCACCCTTTCTGGGCCATGTGCAGACACAAAAACATCAAATGACTCCATGACTTCTAATTTTCCTTTAAATACCATCTTATACTGAGACTTTCTTGCCTTCAAAGACTAAGCATGGTCCAGGGGAAACAGCTCGAAGGTCAAGTTCTGGTAAAATGCATGTATATGTAACGCAAAGCCCAAAATCTAGGAAGACTGCACACCAATGTATAATTTGGCTGCCAGACACAAACCTCAAAGGTAGCCGAGAGATTAATATAATGACAGCCTCCTGTTTCTGAGTTAAATAATTAAAAACTGAAAGATTAACTATTAATTAAAAAAAAAAAATTAGCCAGGCCAGGCAGTGGTAGCACACGCCTTTAATCCCAGCACTCGCGAGGCAGAGGCAGGAAAATCCCTGTAAAGTCAAGGCCAGCCTGGTCTACAAAGTGAGTTCTAATTCAGCCACAGATACAAAGAGAAGCCCTGTCCTGAAAGAAAAAAAATAAATTAGCCAGACATAGTGGATCTTGTAATCCCAGGCAGGAAGAACTCTATGAGTTAGAGAGCTACCATGAGTTCCAGGACAGTCATGGCTATGCAGAAAAACCCTATCTTGAGGAGAAAAAATCATTTAATTAAAAATTTCATTTTAAAGCTGGGCAGTGGTAACGCACTCCCAGCACTCAGGAGGCAGAAGCAGGTAGATCTCAGTGAGTTCGAGGTCAGCCTGGTCTACAAAGCAAGTTGCAGGAGCTTTAAAAATGAAATTGTTAGCCGGGCGGTGGTGGCGCACGCCTTTAATCCCAGCACTCGGGAGGCAGAGGCAGGCTGATCTCTGTGAGTTCGAGACCAGCCTGGTCTACAAGAGCTAGTTCCAGGACAGGCTCCAAAACCACAGAGAAACCCTGTCTTCAAAAACCAAAAAAAAAAAAAAAAAAAAGAAATTGTTAAGATTGTTTTACAAAGCAATTTAATGGTTACTCTAAAGAAAAATCCCATCTATAACTATAGTGAGAAAAAAGTTACAATTACTGCAGTGCATTTAGTGTAATCATTAACAATATAAATACCCACCCAGCAACTGTGCCATATTGCTTTAAACCCAGTACCAGGGAGGTAGCAGCAGGCGGATCTGAGTTCCAAGCCACTCTGGTCTACAGAGTGAGTTCCAGGGCAGTCAGGGCTACTCAGAAAAACACTGTCTCAAAAACCAATACATATATATGCACTCTTCTGTAATAAGTAAAGATAAACACTGTCTAATAGCTAAGATGATTCAAAAACTAGTACTAGAAGAAACAAAAACTGAGCCAGTCAGACATACATAATGAGACTGTGCTCAAAAAAAAAAAAAATCAGAGATCTGAAGTGGCAATGTTTTGATATTTCTATTTCTGCAACTCTCAAAGATAACCAGGGGCTGCAGCAAATCTTAAAATGTACATTTTGGGTTTCTACATCAGTTTTCCTTTCATTAGACATGAAACCAAATAAACTACTCAACACTGTTATTTCCCATTTAAAAAGTCAGAACGATAGAATTTTGCAGCAAGTGCCCGAGTATAATTAGCTCATTATTTCTGAGATTTAGGACAAGTACCTATTTAAATCCATTTTCTCTTCTCTAGCCAGTCAGTGCTTTTCCTCCCATTCCTGTCAAAAAATCTCCTTTCTTCCCTACAGCATCTCATGGGAATAACTTTAGTTACAAGACTTCCACAAAGAATCAAGAGATCTTGCCTTGGAGCAAGATGGTGTTGAAGCACAACACTTAAATCCACCTATATGTATTATTAACCACATGCCACACTACATTTTACATTCTAACTCCATAAAATATGTAAAAGTCTTATGTGGAGTTACAACTTACTTTAGGGGATCTTCTTGATCACTGTCTATGCTATCAGCTTCACTGTCAGGGTCACCTCTCCATGTCTGATCCACAGTAATGGGTTCCTGATCCCCATCACTCCAGCTGTCTTCATCTGAGGCAAGGAAGGGAGAGCAGCCATTAAGACTTCCCACCTCTGTAACTCCACACAGGAAGCTACATTACTTAAGAGATCAACTTAAAACCTTAAAATTCAAATGTTTAAGTTCTTAAGAATAACAGAAGGAAAGGTCACCAGATCAGGAGAGTGCATCTAAACAAACTCTAAACGCAGAACAACTAACAACAACAACAGCAACCCTGAAGCCTCCGAATCCCAAGGAGAACCGCAAATACACAAAGCATTGCACTAAGCCACGTTCATTCTTTAGCACCTTCTACCGCACTCAGGAGAGAAGACTTACATCCTTACCCAGTATTCGGCTGGCTTCGCTTCGACTGCTCTCTGGGGTCTGAGAGCCCAGCTCTGTTTTTGCGTATGAGCTCAACTGGCACAAGAGGGTTTCACCCATAGGGCCTGGATTATTCTTCTTCATTTGAGCATGAAGTGCTAGAGCATTCCTTCGAGCATGTTCAGCACAGAAAGACACCCTAAGGAAGCAAAACATTAACATTTAATAAGCTCTCTCTTGAAAGGAGTCAGCAATATTGTCACCAATTAATTTTTTTCTCTTTAGGAAATTTAAAATTATTATATTCATGCCTTGAAAAACCAGTGTGAGCCGGGTGATGGTGGCACGCGCCTTTAATCCCAGCAGGCAGAGGCAGATGGATTTCGGTGAGTTCGAGTCCAGCCTGGTCTATAAGAGCTAGTTCCAGGACAGGTTCCAAAGGTACAGAGAAACCCTGCCTCAAAAAATGAAAGAAAGAGAGAGAGTATAGACAGATAGAGAGATAGAGAGAGGCAGAAAACCAGTGTGAAAGGAAAGTCAGGGGTGGTGGCACTGCCTTTAATCCCAGCACTCAGAAGGCAGAAGTGTATCTCCAAGTTCAACCTGGTCTAGAGTGAGTTAAAAGATGGAGCTACAGAATGAGACGCTGTCTCAAAAGAAACACAAATCTGAATCCGAAATTTAACAGCCCCCAAGTCAACCTACTTAGAATTTTGTTTTTGTTTTGTGTGGTACATGTGTTGCTTAAAGTCAAATCCAGAGCTCCATACATGGAAGGTCTCTAACACCAAGCTACTTCCCAAGCCCACACTAGTTGTTATTAAAGAGAAAGCCAAGTAGCTTAACCAGTGTTCTAGTCAGACAAAACATTCTAACCATAAAACATTAACAATATCTCATGGAAAATCAGAGACACTTTTAGTTTTCAAAACTAAGTCTGGAAACACATTTTACTATCAATCCACTTTAGATGATGGTTCAATTTTAAAACTTTTCGAAAGATGTATACAAATTACCTAGTAAAGTCATATTCCTGCACAGGTAAAGCACATATATGATAAAAGCTCTAAGTCCCTTCCAGAGCACACACTATACACTGTTCCTACCATTTAACAAGGAACAAGGCTGGGCAGGTGAGCCAGCACTCCAGCATTAAGAATTAACTTGCGAGCCAATTCAATGACTCAGCAAACAAAAGCACCCACGTCACAGCCTGACCACCTGAGTCCCATCCCCAACCCCTTGGTGGAAGGAGAACCAACTCAAGAAGCCGTCCTCTAACCACATGTGTGGTAGCCCATGTGCACATAATAAATGTTTAAAAATAAAAAACTTAAGGTTGAGTATGGCTGTGCAGACAGTAATCTCTGAGGCAGAAGAATTAGGAGTCCATAATTAGTCTGGACCACAGTTTAAAAAAAAAATCACTTAATTTTACAAGTAAGCAATTACCCCTGCCTCAGGTGTTCTTCCAGTTCTCACCATGGGGGAGGGTTTTTCGAGACAGGGTTTCTCTGTGTACCCCTGACTATACTGGAACTCAAGAGATCCTTGCCCCTGCCTCCCAATGCCGGGATTAAAAGCGTGCGCCACCATCAGTTCTGATGGTTTTAATATTTTGATTCCCTCCCAAAGAATATATCCTTGATCCTCCAGATATAACGAAGCTTACACACTATGATCCTCCAGATATGCCGAAGCCTACACACTATGATCCTCTTTCACTTCCCAATAGAAGGAACAAGCGTGGTGGTGCACCCACGACTCAAGAGACAGCCTGGTGTAGTGAATTCCAGGGCAACCAGAGCTAGAAACATTGGCCTTGTCCCAAAAAAAAAAAAACAAACAAACAAACACCCACACCTCGAAGGCCAAAAGGTTGCCAAGACGGGGCTGAAGAGGAGGCTCAGTGTTAAGAGCAAAGGCAGCTGCTCTCACTAGAGGATCCCCGGGTTTGAGTCCCAACAACCATCTATAATTTCAGTTCAAGGGGATCCAATGCCTTCTTCTAGCCTCTGCTGGCGTCAACCATGAACTTAGTACACAAACATTAACACGCAGGCAAAATACCCATACACATAATTTTTTAAAAAACATTGTATAAGGGTTGCAAAAGTGTTTCAAACCAGCTTGGTCCACACTGAGTTCCAGGCATAGAATGAGACCGTCTCAGAAAAATGCAAAACGACAAAGGGGCCGGCCCGGTGGCTCTGCGGGTCAAGCTTAACGACCCACGAGGTAGAAGAACGGACTCCAGCATATGGTCCACACGTGCGTGACACGAGAACGCGCCGCCCCCACCCACAACACACTACCAACTGGAAATAAATGTTTTCAAATGAAATAAGAATAAAAAGCTAAGGGCAGGAGGTTTGGGTGTTGCAATAGGCTCGGCGACACGTGTGCTTTGCGCGCACGAGCCTCAGCACGCATCCACACACCACCCACCCACACACACAGGGATCTACACATACCCATCTTTCTTCTCGGGCTTTGGGGCAGCACTGGGACACCGTTTTCCATTCTTCGTCGATATGTAACTACACTGTTTGAAGGGTGCATTCTTGTCTTCAAGAATATGCTTAATGCAGAACTCCTGCCCCTCCAGACGCGGTTGAGAGCATGGGCGGTGAGTAAATGAACAAGAAAGGGGCTCCTGCGATCTGGGCACTGGGGTGATCCTCCCCCGATTCGTTGGCAAGACGTGAATCCGAATCCTGTTCATACCAAAACCTGCAGGGGTGTGGGAGGCACACAAAAGATCGAAATGGCCTTAACCTTGCCTAAAGTCCTTGCCTGCGTTCTTCCGCGGGTCGGTTGGCAGGGCGAGGGTCGCGCCCTCCCTTTCGTGCCGCCGCCCTCAGGGCTGCTGGGGCTAAGTCAGCCACTCACCTCCCCGCCGCCCCGGCCCGACCACGTTGGCCGAATCCCCACAGCAGCAGACCGGAAGCGCGGTGCCCCGCCCCCACGCCCCGGCACACCGCCTTTGTCCCGGCCGCCCCGGAGCTCACAAGCCCCGGCCCGCAGAGCCTAGTCCTGCAAGCGCCATCTTGTCGTACGGCTCCCGACACCAGAGAACCCCCGGTTCCCGACAGCCTAGCAATCAAGAGTGACCCCGACGCTGAAAGAGACGAAGTCCCGCGCTGACCTGACAGAAAGGACGACCGGCAACCTAACAGCAAAGGTGAAGCGCCAGCCGCGGCGCCATCTTACCTCCCCGCCGCGCTACGCCGCGCAGCTCACCCTCTGGCCGCTCTGGCCGCTCGGAACACGGCCGCGCGGCCCCTAAACGCTGATTGGTCGCTGCTCTGCCGGTGATGTGCTGCTATTGGTCAAAGGCAACATATCAGCCGGAGGGAGGCGGGGCAGTGAGAAACTGCGCGACGGGAATGGTTGAGGTGAACTGTCTGTCAGAAACTCGGCCCGTGATTGGGCCATCGGAAAGGCGGGCCGCAGCCAGTTTCCAGGTCCGGATATTTTCCCGTCTCAGTGTGGTTCGCCTTCTGACGGCCATGGGCTCCACCCCTCTTAGACAGCTACTTTGTTACCTTTCCTACACAGCAGGTAAAAAATTGGACAAGGCTGACCTGTTTATACATGAAAAGGCTTTATTAGTTTTCTATTGTGGAGTTGATCGTAAAGAGAGAATCTACGAACAAATGTAGAAATAGCAAAAAGAAATAATAACAGTGCTATGGTAAGCAAATGGACAAGGGGAAAGAGAAAAACAATAGACTTCTAATTACGAAAAAATTCTAAATCCAAAGCGGGCCAAAAATGTAATACATAGAATCGCTTCCTTCTAAATAAGTATATTGAGGAAGCAGATACCAAACAGTCAGATACTGCCAGATTCTGCTGTTTCTGTGTGTTTGCAAGTGTGCCTGTGAAGGCCAGAAGATGGTTGATGTCCTCTTCTATCCCGCTCTACCTTACTCTCTCCTGGCAGGTGGTGGCACGGGTCTTTAATCCCAGCACCGGGGGACCAACCATCTACAAAGTGAGTTCCTGGACCGCTAGGGCTATACAGAGAAACCCCATCTCAAAAGAAAAAAAAAAAAAAAGGTAGAGGCCACCAGGTATGGTAGCATACACCTGTAATCTAAGATCTGAGGACTCTGGAGATAGAGACCGGGTCTGATAACCCGGAGCTCACTTTTTATATATTCATATAGACCAGGCTAGGCTGGCCTTGAACTCAGATCCACCTGCCTCTGCCTCCTGGGTGCTGGGATTAAAAAGCGTGCGCCACCACGACCTGGTGGAGCTATTTTTTAAGAAGTATTATCTCTATTTATTTATTTATTTATTTATTTATTTATTTGGGAATGTAACATGTGTGGAGTTCCGAGAACAATTTGCAAGTCAGTCCTCTCCTACCATGTGGGTTAAGAGAATCAACTGGGCCATCAGGCTTGGCTGCAAGAGCCCTCACCACTGAGCAGTTTTTGTTTTAGTTTGTTGTTGTTCTGACTAGGCTGGTGGCCAAAAATCCTTATGATTCTCTAGTCTCTGCCTCCTCCCCCATGCCCCGCCCCAGCACTGGAGTTGCCGCCTTGTCTGGCCTTTTTCATGAGTGCTGAACACTGGAACTCAACTCACAGCTCGGCACTCTACCCACTGAACCTGCTGCTCAGCTCCCTTTCTAAGTTCTGAGCATTCTGCACACTTTAGCTCTCCTGTACCTCGTTGATCTCCTGTCTGTGGACTGCTGGCCTGGACCCTTCTTTGGACTGTGAAAGTCTACAATTTTGTCATTTTTTTCCCCAGACCATTGTGATTTAACTGGACTTGGTCCTATTGGATGCAAAGTCCTCCATTTGTGTACTCATTTCCGGGTCAACTACTCAAGGACATCACCCCACATCTGTTTTCTGAATCTTCCAAAAGCATATGCATATGCTGTGATTTCTCCTATTCAAAAAGTAACAATGTTTATCTTGCCTCTTCCAGCTACTACCTCTATTGCTGTACCTAAGCCAGGATCTCCTTATCCAGCCCAGTCCAGTCTCAGATTCTCCTGCCCCAGCCTCTTTCATGCTGGGGTGTGTCATTCCCAGCTCCCTTATTCTCTCTTGAATCTTCTCCAGGTAGAATTCTCCCCACAGCAAACTAATATACAAGTTTATATGTAACCTTTCACTTTGTTAATTCAAATGAAGTTTCTAGGCTTCATTTTTAAGACAATTTTGTAAGATCTGCCCACAGACAGTCTCTGTAGTCCAGACTGTCCTGAAATCCATGGCAATCCTCTGGCTCAGCTTCCCAACAGTTGGAATTAGAGACATGAGCTACTGTGTGCAGCAACTTGTGTTTAGACACTCACAGGTGAGCTCACCTTTGTTTGTGAATATGGAAACCAAGTGTCAATTCAATTTCCAGTGTCCTCTTACTATACCTAACTCCACCTCTCCTCCCCGGCACTGGGATTACAGGTGCATCACCACACCCAACTTATGTGAGTGCTGGGATCCAAACTCAGATCCTCACGTTTGCACCCCGAGCACTTTACCACTGAGCCTTCTTAAAACATTTTCTAGATCCCTGTACTCTAGTTCCCTCTTTCCACAGTCGCCCATTCTTGTCATTTGAGTCTCTTGTTCATTATCCTCCCTACACCAAGTTTTGAAAACAATACTTTCCTCTCTCACTATGTCTTATTCCATTCATAAACTGATGGTTCCCAAGTAGGTACCACTACCCTGAACCTTGCTTTGAATGGCACACTCTACATCCATCCGTCCAGTAGACCTCCATGGATGTCTACACTAAATTTCTAACTTAATGCTAAGGCAAATTTCCTGTTTCTGTTTTCATAAACATTAGCTCTATTCTTCCAGTTGGTTAAGTCAAACAGTCATCCTTGACCTCCCTCTGACTTTACAGCAAATCCCACCAACTATCTCAATGACTCATTACAATTCTCATTGCTTCCAGCACTTTTGGAGCCACCTTATCTCTTCTAAGTTGAGTCTGTCCTCTCCTGTCCCCTCCTCTACCCAAAATAAAGAAAATAGACAAAATGACCAGAACCCACAGTTTTTTGTTTTTAAAGAAGTGTCCTTTCTCCATAGGGCTGGAGAGGTGGTTCAGCAGTAAAGAACACTCACTGGATGCTCTTCCAGAGGACCTGGGTTCGATTCCAAGCACCCACAGGATGGCTCGCAGCTGTAGTCACTCTAATTCCAGTGTCAGGGGATATGACACCTCACAGGCATACATGTAGTTAAAACACCAATATACATAAAATAAAAATAATAAATTATTTTTAAAGTGTCTTTTTTTATTGTATTTATTTGGGTGTGGAGACACATGTATGGAGCTTAAAGGGTAACCAGTGGAAGTCATTTTTCTCCTACCATGTGGGTCCCAGGGATTGAGGCTCGGCACTGAGCAGCTCTACCCACTAGGCCATCTCATCAGCTCTCCTTTTAAACTACTGGTAATCCTAAAGTTTGACAAACTTGCTGCAGTTCTTTTCCTCTAAGTGTATAACTGGCGTAGTGCTCATAGTTTCTCTACATTATCAATTTAACTTTTCTTCTTCAAAATGTAATTCTACCAGGTGTGGCAGAACATGCCAGTAATTGATCTCAGCACTCAAGACCTTGGGTGTAGCAAGAAGATGCCATTTGAAGCCAGCTGAGCTACACAATGAAACTGTCTTGAGCAAAACATACTGTCTGCCAAAAACATCATTGTGGATTTTCAAAGATGCAAGCTACAGTTATAAATTATATCTTGGTGCTTGGTAGATGAGTGTTTTAAGCTTTGCTACCACAGTAAAGCTGTCATTTTTTTGTTTGGTTTTGCCCTTCCAGGTACTCATGCAACAATGTAAGTGAAGAGTTCCCCCCCCACACACCCCGTCTACAGCATACTTTACACACCCCGTCTACAGCATACTTTACACCATCAGGTTCACTTGTTGTAGTTAAATCTTAGCTCTCCCAATGGACTTGATGTCTCTACGATAGTGTGATAGGAACTTTTAATACTATCAAAACCAAGGTGGTAATGAGTCAACAAAATAAGTCAAAGACTAATTTAAGAACACGGCACATACAAATAACAATCAGGTGTTTCATCATTAACGTTTATTGATGGGATGGATAAATACAGATTGAGAAACATACTTGACAGCAAGATATCAAACTGATAGCCAGACTATAAAATGTGTATACAATATCCTTCTTTAAATTTTTTTTTGAGTTTTTAAAGTTTTTTACAAAGAGCCCTTATGATAATGGTCACTTACATCCTATCATCATTCACCTAACAGCAGTAGAGATCCCAGGAGTAGCACCCAAAACTGAGGTGCCCCACGGAGGACAGAGGCAACAGCAGAATAATATGCTGAGCAGTACAAAATAAGACAAAAAACAAAACAACAAAAAAAGCTCACCACAAAATTGTACCTGAGTGACATAAACTGGTAAAATGTTACTTTGCTTTTCATTTTTTCTTTTCTTTTTTTTTTTTTGTTCTTTGGTCTGATAAGAAAATGGACAGTTTTTGATAGAAAATGTGTGGAAAGTAAGGTAATATATATCAGTTTCAAGTTTAGAACCCTAAGTTACACCTTACAGTTTCGAGTTCTTAGGCCAGAAAGCACTTCTACTTTCTAAGTGTTTCATTATGGTCTTCAGCTCCTCTGCTTCCACTGGCATTTCCAGACCACCTGATGGGAGACATACTTGCTCTGGCTTCAATTAACATGCTGTCAAGCATCCCTCTCCACAGTTAGAACGGCAACACAAAACCTATGAGTTTCTTCATACAAGCAGCAATACGCACTCAAAAAGGGAAAGAGCAGACACTGATTTTTATTAAACATTCTTTTCCCTCTTTTTTCCATTGCCAAGTTCATATTAAAAACTTTAAAAATATTAACATGGAGAGCTCACCCACTTAGAAAACAACTCTGAATTTAGACCACTCCATCAAGTAAAATTACAGTACCATTCTTCTTTCAAACTTCCATCCACTGAGGAATAAGAAATAAACAACAGCTTGGTGTAACAAGAATGCTTTCTAAACCATCAAGATCCAAAATTCAGTCAACATCAAGACATTTGGGGAGGTATGAATCGTTGAAAGCTCAGTGGGGGATGCTGGAAAGCTATTTCTCACTAACTGATGGGTTGCATAGACTGCTTAAAATTCTCCCAAACCCAGGAGAATAATATAGGCATTCCAATCAAGATGTCTTAGTTTCTCATTTCCTAGCATGAGTATCAAAATAACTCATCAACAAAAGAAAAAACATCTTTAAAAAAATAATCAGTTCCCAAAATAATGGAAACGCATATATTTAGATTCCAACCATACTAGGATAGATAGGACCCCTCCAATTGCCTTTTTCTAGAAGCAAGGTGTGAGAGGTAATGAGGAATTAGGTTGCAAAGGCTTCAGGAAACCCAGCAGTGATGTTACCATGATTTTGTTTCAATACTCAAATCTACTGCTGTTTGCAATTGGAGATTTCGATTTTTCTATCACTGCCGGTGAAACTAACAATATAGAAATATGTGGGATACACTAAACCAAAACACTAAAATCATTTACAAGGAAAGGATACTGAGAGTGTCAGATACAAAAACCACAATGATTCATGAATGAGAAAAGTAGGCTACTATTTAGGTATTTTCTAAACCCAAAAGGCTTAACTGAATACTTCAGAACACCACACTGGCTTTAGGTTAATGATTCAGAGTTTAGCCAACAACACAGGTATGATTTAAAAAGCCCTAACAACAATCCACAGGTATTTATTTATGCCAACGTAAGAGTCAAGCAAAATTTTAGGAATGAGATTTACAGAAGTTGAGGCTCCAAGCCTGCTTACCACTGTCACTTCTTCTTGACAGTTTAGATCAAAAGAAAAAAGCCATGTTTACAAGGCTGACTTTAGATATACAAATACTACTTCTCGACCTTTGAAGGTCTGAAGGTGGGAGAGACACACACAGTTTAGAAGCCTTATTTATACAGAAACAGGACAATATGCATGCTAGCTAGAAGGTATATCTGCTAACCCAAAAATAATGCAGCAGTTCATGCAGAGCCCATGAGGAGGTTCAGGACCTATGCACAGATCTAAAAGCAGATACTGTAGATATCTGTAGACAATACCAGGAGAAACTAATATAGGAAAAGTCCATAAACTAACCAAATTCAGTGCTGATCTACAGTAGGACCAGACTACAACATGGTCACTCTTTTAGACTCTAGTAAGCACTTTCTAGCTCACTACTGACAGTTCTAAGAAATTAACTACAGCACTGGCATGAAGAACTGCTGTAACAGCAAATACAACAGCCTTTGTGGTAAGGGAGTGCATGTGATTAGAAACACGTGACATTAGTGAGAGTAATTAAAAGAACATTTTCCCAAGTCAATTATGGTCAATCCCATAAATACAGATGTACTCTAAAATGGCACATTCCCTTTTGGGAAGGTCAGGATGGAAAACAAAATCTAAACGAATACCAAACCTAAACTTAGTAATCATGATGACACATATTTCTTGCACAACACAGGAAATACCAAGAAAGAAAATGTCACTTTAAAAGTTGCATACCAAGAAATATCACTGGCTTACAGATTAGCTAGGAGTTCCTTGTTTTGCACAGCACTGGCAGGCACTCCAGGACTGTTCAAACATGCAGATTATAAACCACGAAGTCACCCTAAGATATATTCCTCCTGTACATTCTTCTCTACTGGGCCATTACCTCAATAGTAACTGCCGCAGTGTTTTCCTAGGCTGTTCTTGGCAAGCAGCACCCGTACAACTTCTGTTTCCCTATGACTTTCAGCAAAAAGAATCTGAACTCTCCATAAAGACTACTTGGCATGACAGAAGCTTCACTAATTAAAAAAGAAAAAAAAAAGACAAATTATTTTCATAGCACCATCTTTTCCATAGCAAAAAAAAAAAAAACTACACACACATTTACATGCGTGTGCATACATATTTTTTTTCATGCAGTGAACCAAAGAATAGCAATGATCTGCAGCTTGGTAGCATTTTCAGTTAGAGAGCTTGACTTAGAATTTTTTTCTAGCCATTATCTCTTCAAAGATCTCCTTCATCAAAAATAAGCCCCATAACAGGATTCCTGATCCACTTTTTAAAAACAGGACTCTGTCTAGAATCAAAAACCACTGAAAGAAACAATTGAAACCCAACTGTGTCTGTTGGCTAGGTTTTCTCACTCATCACACCAGTGCTCTGAAGTCACACAGGCTGCAAACACAAGTGTGCAGTTGTTTTCCGTTTGACAGATAAAGAAGCAAGAATTACATTCATAATGTATCTTAAAATGCAAATTCTTCAGAATCCCAAATCACAATTTCATTGTCTTTAGTATCATTAACTGCATGGCTTCTCCCAAACCGATTACCACACATGGTCTAGTCTCCGACAGACAGGACATGCAAGCACACCCTTCTTCCCTCAGAGACCCAAACTTTCCCAAAGCCCAACCTGAAAAGGCCCAACTCTGTAGGGCAGAAGCCGGCCTTGCTCTCTAAGCGTCTTCCTCAATCGTCCATCTGCACTGAAAGCACAAAAAGGGTCAAAGGGAGTTTTCATGATAGTGCTAGAGAGTTGGCTCACTGGCTACATCTGTCCACACTAGAAACTACAGGGCTACTACTCAATCACAACATAAAATGTGTTGCAGTGTGACAATGTCAATACATGCCTCTTCATGTTTTCAAGGCCAACCACGCTCTCTAGTAGAATGTGGGGATGTGAAATGGTAGAGGTGGGAGGAAAAAGGTAACATGATTTTTAATCTCTCTCTCTCACACACACACAACACACACACTCACATACACTCATACACTTTAAAGGTCTCAATACTTCAAGTGGCCTGAGCCTATTTCACTCTTGGCCAAAAGCCTACCATCCCACCCACCCTGCACACTCCCACCCTCCAACCCCCACCCTCAGTCATTGCTATGTACCTCATACACACAGCAAAACCCCTTCCCCTTCCCGATTACATAAAAAAACTAAACAGATAACTTACTTTCTTTAAATTATTTTTAAGTCTCTTAAAGATCTGACGTTTAAATACTCCCTCTTCTGATATGTTAAACAAACTGCTTGATCACCCCCACGATTCAGTTCCAGCAAGAGGGGAAGAGTACTTCAATCAACCCCATAAGGATGAGGAGAGGCCAAGAACAGTGTTCTTAATCCTTCACAGCTTCAACACAATCTTACCTCTGATACCAGTACAGACTATAAGATAGATGTATGAGGCAGATGTAATAACTGAGGCCTCCACCACCCTCCCACCTGTCTCAATATCAATTTATTCCTTAGTCCAATGGTGACATATTTCATAAGGGATGTAATTTTCGTAGTCCAGTATCAGTAGTCAAAACAAAAACAAACCAAAAATCCCCCAAAAACAAAGTGTTTTTGTTTTTTAAGTTCTCGCCTCATTTTTTTTCATTTAGGAAGAGGTGGAAGTGGTGGAGGTGGTTCTGATGGTAGGGGTGGTGGTCGAGGTTTGTCTGTATTGCCAGATCTGGAGATTCCACCAGCTCGTGGATTCATATATTCACCATAAGAATGAACAAATTCAAATGCAGGGGGCTGAGTGGGCTGAACACCCTGGGCACTGAGCAGGGAGTGGAGCATATTCACAGTATCTTGATAATCTATTGACTGAGTTGTGTTGTGACCATTAGCCCCAGGAGGGCCTTTATCCAGTTTCATATGAGGAACTCGAGTTTTACAGCTAGGCTGTGAAAAGGGGAGGCCACTTGTGTCTGAGCTATGCCCAGGCAACTGGGTCATTGTAGGAAGACGAGGGAAGGGGAAATTCAAGGAAGAGGATTTAGTACTCTTGGCAATCTTGGCTGGATGATCAAACACTGCTGCCCCCGTCTCTTCCAGGGGACCCCTCTTACGAGTAGAGCTCGAAGAGGACAAAGTACTAGACAAACTATACGGTTTGTGCGCTAAGGTGCTGGACTGGCTGCTGTGTTTTGGGTCACCTGGCCGTTTGTTCATAGTACCGACAGGCAGCTGTAAGTGAGAGTGCTTGTGTGAATGGTGATTATGATGGTGATGGTGGTTGGACGGATGAGGCTTGTGCTTTTCTTTGTGCTCCCGGCTCTTGGAGATGCTATCCTCTGCAGAATTGTGCTTCTCAGCTGCAGAGTGGACTTTAATGCGCATTTTCATCTCCTCTGGTTTTGAGGAGGATGCTTTATCTCCACTGGCCACCGGGAGTCTCATTTTCAGAGCTGACTTGTCAGCCTTTTCCAAAAAAGGTCGTTCAGGATTTTCTGAGCCCTCAATGGGCATCTTCAGAATGACTGAAGAATGGCTGTCATGGTGGGACAGGAGGTTCTGAGCGGCATATGCATACTGTGACTTCACATTGGCCTCCATATTCTCCAGCTGCCTCTTCTGAGCAGCCAGCTCCTCAGCGTGCTTTGCACGGTACTCTTTAAGTGAAACTTTAGCTGACGGCACGCTCTTACTCGTCTGCTTCTGGGAAACAAATGCATTCGAACTATCATGTTGTAAGGAATGATCAACTCCAATAAGTGCTAAATTCTCACTAGTCCGATGACCCTGAGAAGATTCTAGTTTAAAAGGAGGTTGGGAAGACAGCCATCGCTCGCCTTGCAACATATCCACATTAGTTAGACTGCTTGATGACTCTTCAGAGACAGGAAGGGAAGGCACTGCACTTGTAGTAGAAGTAGTTGACATGCTCATTAATCCTGCAATAGTTGTGTCTGAAGAGGTCTGAGAAATCATATTGAGGATTGTCTGCTCTGATGTGTTTTCATCTGCTCCTCGGTCATCTGGTTTAGTTTTCATGGCAGCCTGGTATGCCTAAAATGAAGCAAATAAAATCTTCAATCCAGGCAATTTACAAAGTAGAAGTATACCGAAACAGCAACCAAGAACCTTTTTATTTTGTATTATTTGTTTGTTTGTTAGCTTTATGTGTATTGGAGGTGGGGTTTCCTGTTTTTATTTGAGACAGAATCTCTTTATGTAGCCCTGGTTGGTCTTGAACTCCCCATATAGATATATCAGGCAAATTTCCAACTCACAGAGATCCACCTATCTCTACCTCACCTCCTAAGTTCTTAAAGTTACATACATTACCCCCGCCCAAAAGTCATTCTTAGGCATTCAGTGTAACTATGACTAGTAAAGTTTATATAAAAATAAAAAATGAAGTACAAGTTCTTAAGTCTACTTCTAACCCTAAGCTACTAGAGGCAAACATTATCTATAATTCCCTAGATCTAGGAACATTAGTCTAAATAAGAAACGAGGGGGGGCTGGAGAGATGGCTCAGTGGTTAAGAGCACTGACTGCTCTTCCAGAGGACCCAGGTTCAATTCTCAGCACCCACATGGCTGCCCACAACTGTCTGAAGATCTAGTTCCAGGGGACCTGACACTGTCACACCAATGCATATAAAATAAAGTTAAATAAAATTTAAAAAAAAAAAAAAGAAAAAAAAGAAACGAGGGAGGGCTGGAGAGATGGCTTAGAAGTTAAGAGCACTGGTTGCTTTTCTAGAGGTCCTTAGTTCAATTCCCAGCAACCACATGGTGGCTCACAACCATCTGTAATGAGGTCTGGTGCCCTTTTCTGGCCTTCAAGCATACATGGAAGGAATGTTGTATACATCATGAGTAAATAAATAAATTGAAGGAGGGAGGAAGGGAGGGAGGGAGGGAGGGAGGGAGGGAGGAAGGGAGGGAGGGAGGGAGGGTAATGTATGGTGGTACATGCTTGCAATCCCAGCAGTTAAAAGGTAGATAGATGCAGGAGGATCAGGAGTTCAAGGCCAGCCTCTACTAACAGCAGCAGGTACAAAAACCTTGTCTCAAAAAGGGATTGGGGGAGGCTTTGTTTTTTCTTTTTTGGTACTGGTGATTGAGTGCAGGGCCTTATGAATGCTAAATACTATCCTACCACTGAATTGTATCTCAAGTTCATCTATCTGATGTTATGGGGAAAAGGAATGACTCTATTATTCATAAAACTAAAAACATCTGCATTACAACTTTAGTTCGCAACTCATAAAAAAAAAAAAATCCTGGGGCTGGAGAGATGGCTCAGAGGTTAAGAGCACTGACTGCTCTTCCAGAGGTCCTGAGTTCAATTCCCAGCAACCACATGGTGGCTCACAGCCATCTGTAATGAGATCTGCTGCCCTCTTCTGGCCTGCAGGCATACACACAGACAGAACACTGTATGCATAATAAATAAATCTTTAAAAAAAAATCCTGGGGCTGAAGATAGGGCTCAGCAGTTATGAGCACCCCACTGCTCTTGCAAAAGATCTGGATTCATTTCTCCGCACCTACAGCAGCTCATGAACACCTGTAACTCCAGTCCCAAGGTATCGGACACCCTTTTCTGGCCTCTACAGGCACTATATACACATAAAAGGAGGCAAGCACTCACACAAAAGATAACAATAAATTCTCCCCACTACCACCACAGAGTCTTACAAAGTAGCCCCAGCTGGTTTTAAGGTCACAGAGATGTCTTCTAAATGCTGGGATTAAAGACATGCACAACCATGCCCAAATGTAATGATAAATCTTTTTAAAAGGAAGGAAGGAATGGAAAAAAGAAGGAAAAAAGAAAAGTAAAACCTCTCTCTCTCTCGACAGAGTTTCTCTGTGTAACAGTCCTAACTGTCCTGGAACTAGCTATGTAGACCAGGCTGGCCTCAAACTCACAGAGATTCACCTGCCTCTGCCTCCCAAGTGCTGGGATTAAAGGCACGTGCCACCACTGCCTGGCTAATAAAACATTTTTAAAGTGTTTAACATTGCAGACAAAATTATAATCAACCCTTGTAATTCCAAACACACCTTGCCCCTCTATACTATACAGAAAATATACAGAAAAAAATATATATATATACATATCAACACTATACAGAAAATACACATCTGGAGCTGGGAGACGGAGGCAGCTCAGTGGGTAAAGTGCTTGCCTTGCAAGCATAAGGAGTTTAGATGCCCAGCACCCATGTAAAAACCCAGTGCAGTGGCATGTACCTATGACTCCAAAGTACGGTGGGTAGAGGGAGACAGGCAGGCAGACACAGCCAGTCTAGCTCAAATAGTGAGCTCCAGGTTCAGTAAGAAAGACCATGTCTCCAAAATAATAGGGAGCAATAAAGGAAAACACAAAAACCACCTCTGGCTTCCATATGTATGCTCACAGGCATGTACAACTACATGTGAATACATATATGCAAACAAACCAAATAAAGCCAGTGCCACCGAACAAGTAACTATGCAAAAGGCAATTTACACAATTTGCACAGGACCCAAAGCAAAGTTCCCTACAGACTAACATCTTAGCTAGTATCCATGCTACCAAGTTACAATGACTGTTGAGAAAAGGGAAATTGCAAACCTAGTGCACATATCCAATTCTGGCATATTCACTGGCAAAGTTAAAGGAAAGAATAAGTTTGTCAACAATAATTCTTACCCTCCAATTTCTAATGCGTTTCAGCCTGCTTGGAGTTTTCTCCAGAATCTGCAGAAATTCATGTGTCAATTCTACAAATGAAATATTCAAGAAATGCTCAGAGACAAGAAGGTAATGAAACAAGAATAATCTCAACTAACTTACTGTTTTCATGTGACTCAAGCACATTTGGCCAGACATGGGACAAATCAAGAAGTGCGTTTCAGGTCCCTTACACTAAAACTTACCATCTAAAAGTTCCAACGTCACAGTGGCGTCAACATACTCCCACCAGTGCTTCCCGTCAGTTGAGACTGGGATCTCCCAGTTGGACCACTTGCAAGCCAGATGGATGCAGACACAGGCCACCACAGGAGGTGTGTACTGCAGGCTAAATGTGGTCAAATGCAGGCTGACATCAAAGGGAAGGAAACAGAGAGTGTCATGAGCCCTCAATTCTCAACCCTAAACTAAAACTCTCCATTATTAAAAAACAAAAAAACAAAAAACAAAAAAACAAAAAAAAACAAAAAACCACAGGAGAGTGAGAAGGGCAAGAAATCTCCTATGCTCTGATTTAGCACTCAACTTCTTTCTTTAAAACATTTCATTTCCATTATGTGTACGTGTCTGTTGCGGACAGAAGTACATGCACATGAGAGAAGGTGTCCAGGGAGGCCGGAGGTCTCAACCTCCCAGTGCTGGAATTAATTACAGGTCATGGTGTAGGTACCTCCCCACAATGGATGGTGGGATTGGAACTCGTGTCCTCTGGAAGGCTGCATGTGCTGCTCTGAACCTCTGACTCTTCTCTCTAGCCCTTCAAAATGGCTTTCTATTAAAATATTGCTCGGGTTAACAACACTCCTAAATTTCCTATTACCATACAATCTATACAATTAGTAAACAAAAAAATGAAAACAAAAATAAAAGAAGAAAAAGAGCTAGGTAACTTTGGTGATGCACACCTTTAATCCCAGTAATCAGGAGGCATAGGCTTGCAGATCTCTGTGAGTTTGAAGCCAGTCTGATCTACAAGCACACTTCAAGACCAGAGTTACTGTCTGTGATCCAGTCACAAGCCAAAAAAACAAAAACAAAAACCCAAAAAACAAAAACAAACAAAAAAAAAAAATGCAAAAAGCCAAAGCCAGCACAGTAGCAGATGCCTATAATCCAAACACATGGAATGTCAAAGTTCAAGGCTAGCCTGGGCCATGAGACCCTGTCTCAAAAAATCAAAAGAAAAAAATACAATAAAGAACAGTTACTCGAGTATAAATATACCTGATAGTTTTCCCCCAAAAGATGTCATCTAGTTTTTAGACAGGGACTCATTCTTTGGCTGCCCTGAAATTTACAGCTGCCCTATCTCCAAAGAGCTGAGGAGCACAGACTGATCCACCATAACACCTGACTCTTACCTCATGAATTTTTCATTTCTCCTCCCTCTGTTTGTGTGTGTACCTGTCTGTCTATGTTAATAAGATGGGGTCTTACATCACACAGAATGGCCTTGAACTTGCTATAGTTCAGAGGATGACCATGAACTACTGATTCTCCTGCCTCTGGTCCCTGAGCGCTAGGATCACAGATGTGAGCCACCATACTCAATGTATGCAGGGCTGGGAATTAAACTCAGGAACTGGTGCATGCTTGGAAAGTACTCTAAGAACTGCGTTACACCCATAGTACTCTTTACCTGCTTACTAAAATTAAAACTCTTATACTTGATGACTGATGACATTAGTTTCTCTGAACAAACAATATGGGAAATCAGACACAAGAACAAGCAAGTCACTTAGCAGAACAACTTATATACTGATAACTATTTTTTTAAAGAAAAATATATTGCAAATCCTTATATACTAAATGTCCATTGCTTGGGCAGAAGAAAATCAATAACCCCTAAAATTACATCAATTTTCAGAATTACGTCTTGGATATCTTATAGCAAAGTTAATACATATAATTGGGAAGGCTAAATAATTACAAAACCCTAGCAAATTAAAAGGTATAACGTAAATGCAAGGTACAAAGAGTCTGTAGGAAAATCCACACTCTTCAGGGCACTGTCTATATATAATACATTATATCAAAGATTATTTCCATGGTCTTTTGGCTCTAGTTTACTAAGTGACCCTATATATCCCTCAAAAGGTGACAAATCCAGCCCAACCAAATTCCAAACCCAAAAACAGAAGAAAAAAAAAATAAAAATATAAACCTGTTGGTTGCCATGAAGTAAGATGTCTGTGCTAAGTCCTTGCTTGCTAACAAAAACAAAAGAGAAAGAAGTTATTAGTTCCATTCTTCTGAACAAACACTTAGTATTTATTATCTATGAACATTATAAACTAGGCAGAGACAATGCCTGGGTACGTGGTGTTTACATTCTACCCAAGGAAGCAGACCAAAGTTTGTGAGAAGGTGAAATAGGGCGCTTCAATTTGACCTAGAGTCTTTTTCAGGCAAAGTACAGGTTCTACTACTGATTTCCAAGCATTTTGATTTTTTTTTCAAGACAGGCTTTCTCTGTGTACATCAGGCTGTCCTCCTGCCTCTAAAGGCATGCACCACCACTACCCAGCTACTTCAATGTTTTTAAAATATGCAGAACTGACAAAACTTGGGCAGGTAAAATGAGGTAAAGTACTTGCACCAGTCTGACAACATGAGTTCAAGCCCCTAGAGCCACATGAGGGAAGAGAACTGACTCCCAAAAGTTTATCTTCTGGCTTCCTCCACACAGGCCAAGTGGCACATGAATAACATCTCCACCTTCTGACACATAAACACAAACTTAAATTTTAATGTATAGAACTTGGGAAAGTGGGAATTTTCTGGAAATTCAATTTTCATGAGATACTATTAATATGAAAATAGGGCTAATTATCAGCTCAGCATATAAAACTCCATAAGACATCTACATGCACTATGATATCCAGACCTTCTGTCTCAGAATAAAACCCAAGCAAATGCTCTATCAACTTAGTTCTATGCCCAGCCTCACATTTCCTTTGTTTGCTATTTGTGTTATTGATTAGGTCTCACTATATAGCCCAGGCTAGCCTAGAATTTGCAATAATCTTCTTGCCTCAGCCTCCCAAGTACTGTGAATGCAGGTGTGTCACAACTGGTACCCCAGATATTATTGATACTATTTAAATAAAAGGAATTTGTAAGGATTAGGGATATAACTCAATGGCAGAGCACTTGCCTAACATATACAAGGCCCTATATTTAAACAGTATAGCAAAAACAAAACAACAAAAACCCAACCAACACTGGGTATGGAGGTGCACACCTTTAATTCTAGCACTTAGGAGGCAGAACTCTTGAATTCTACTTAATAAGTTCCAGTCCAGCCGGAACTACATAGTAAGACTATGTCTCAAAAATGAAAAAAAATATTAAATTAATTAATTAGTTAAATTAATCATCTAAGAACTAGTTTTTAACTCGGAACTGAAGAGATGGTTCAGTGATTAAGAGCACTGGCCTTTCTTCCACAGAACCAGGGTCTGATTCCCAGCACCTTCATGGTGGTTCACATATCTGATCTGATGCCCTCTTCTGGCCTACGAAAGTACTAGCCACACATGTCCTACAAAGTCATAAACTCAAGCAAAATACCCAAACACATAAAAATAAACAAATAATAAATAAGTAGGTATATCATACCCAATGGTTTATCAGTAATAAAAATAAGTTCAAATGAATTCTATATCATTGGGGTTTCCTTTAATTAGACATGAACTAAAATAAGATCATCCAGTTTAAAAAATAAACAGTGTGTGTGTGTGTGTGTGTGTGTGTGGACGGGGAGATGGGGTAGGGCAGGGCACTGGAATCCCACAGCATGTGTGAAAGTCAGAAGACAACTTTTACAAGGCAGTTCTTTCCTTCCACTGTGGGATCCAGGGCTCAAACTCGGGTCATCGGGCTGGTGAGGAAAGTGATTTTACCTACTGAGTCATCTTGCTGGCCCAAGATCACCAACTTTCAAGATTTTCTGAAAAATACTTTAGATACATGTGACTTGGTGACTTTTCCAGACCTACCCTTACACTGGCAAATACCCTCAACCAAACAGATGTTATCTCTTAGTTTCTGTTCCTGTTGCTCTATAAAATACCCTACCATTCTGTGGTTTTCTGCTCACAGTACGGTGGGTGCATCACAGTGCACCGTACACCACAGTCAGGGCTGCAGAGCCTAAGCAACTGCTCACAGGCATCCAGTCAGAAATAAGGTGATGATGCAGCTGCTACTCAGCTCTTTCCTCCACTATGGGGGAGGCCTTCTTGTCTCAATGAACATAATCAAGACAGAGGTCTGGCTCCCAAGTGATCCTGTCAAAATGACAAGTAATGCTAACTTCACATTCTCATTAAATTAAGACTGTCGAAAAAAAATCACTTTTTCCAATAGGTCAGAACCAAGTGTCTGATACCAGCCAAACAGGCCACATAATATGGGCAAAGCAGCTGTGCTGTGCTATGCTTTAGTCCAGAGCCAAGCATAGCTCCCAAATAACTAAACAATTCAAGACATTAGGGTTACTTACCCCGCACAAGCTGGGTGCACTTTACCACATGTGTATGTGGGTGATCAATTGTTAGTTCAAACCCTTTAAAAGAACATACACATACATTTTATAGCTCTTTTGTCTGAATCATTAACAGCTTGTTCATTTTTCTCTTCCAAAAGTACTGTGCAAGAACTAAATCGCAAAAAAAATAAAAACAGGGTCAATACATTGAAAAAATAAATAAATAAATAAATAAATAAATAAATAAATGTAACAGCCAGACGGTGGTGGTACACGCCTTTAATCCCAGCACTCAGGAGGCAGAGGCAGGTGGATCTCTGTGAGTTCGACACCAGCCTGATCTACAGAGCTAGTTCCAGGACAGCTAGGGCTGTTACACAGAGAAACCCTGTCTCGAAAAAAAAAAAAAAATAGTAACTTAAGTTTTCTTTGAGAACATAAATACAAATTTCAGCCATGCATAGGCGGCACACTCAGAAGGCTGACGGTGTTTGCAAGTTTGAGGCTAATTTGATCTACATACATAGTGAGTTCACGGGCCAGCCTGGGCTACATGCTAAAACATTGTCTCAGATACTTAAGACATAAAAGACATGATGTAAATTATTCTAATAGAAAAATTGTTAACTGTGAATTAAGACTGAACTTATTTCTATGTAATATAGGTATCGCTAGCCAGTTATGCTGGCACACACTTTTAATCACAGCACCAAGACAGAAGCAGGCAGATCTCTGAGTTCAAGGTCAGCCTGCTCTACAGAGTGAGTTCTTTTTTCGTCTGTTTGTTTTGGTTTTTCAAGACAGGGTTTCTCCGTAGCTTTGCAGCCTATCCTTGTAGACCAGGCTGGCCTCAAACTCACCCGAGAGATCTCCCCATGTAGAGAGCAGCGTGGAGCCACATCTGATAATCAGCTCCTAATTGTGGCTAAGACCTGACTTATGCTGTGATCACGCAATGATTGTCAGCTGCTTGCATATGCGTGGACCTATGGGCAGTGCCCACCTGGCAATCCGGGGTTGGCAGCCCATGCCTTTTTAAGGGCTGGGAGAGGTTTACCCGAGGAGAGAGGGGAAGAAAGAGAGATACAATTGTTAAAAAAGGTCCTGAATAAACTGTCAGCAAGAAGAGCTCCGGGTGTCACATCTTCCTTGCGGGACGAGGTAAACGCGACATCCCCACCTCCGTATTCCAAGTGCTGGGAATTAAAGGCGCGCGCCACCACCGTCCAGATTACGGAGTGAGTTCTAGGACAGCCAGGGCTACACAGAGAAAACCTGCACTGAAAAGTCTTATAATTCAGGTCTATTTAAAGGAAAAAACAATTGGCCAGGCTTCGTGGCAACATTGCGGCAAAAGCCTTTATCCCAGCATGCTCAGGGGGCAGAGGCAGGTGGATCTGAGTCTTTTAAAAAACTGTCAAACTATTAAAAAGATAAACTATAAATCTTACAATGAGAAAAATTATATACAAAATCCTGGCTAATAGGCAGAGGCAGGCAAATCTCTGTGAGTTCGAGGCCAGCCTGATCTACAGGAATTAGTTCCAGGACAGGCTCCAAAGCTACAGAGAAACCCTGTGGTGGTGGTGGGGGGGGGGGGGGTGGGAATGGGATGGATAGGATCCTGGCTAATGGCTGTTTCAAGGACCACCCTACACCTACACTGTGGAAACAAACCAGGCTAAACTATACACTCCACAGCCACTATTACCCAGTAACAGACAATTTCCAAACCCTACAAAAGGTTTTCTCCCAGTTTTACAAATTTTAACATAAAATCATATTCCACACGTAATTTTTCAATGATTTTAAGGAAAATAAACTTACCGAGGGTCTGCAAAATTATGCTCTCTAAAATCACCAGATCTTGAACTTGTTGTAGGTATGCCTATGGGAAAGAATATAGAAATTACATCCCACAAAAGGGTAAACAATTTTAAAAAGCAGAATAATAAAAGATATGGATGGAGGCCACTGAAAGATGGCTGAAGAGTCAGTTAGGTTCGCGTCTCAGCACCCACATGGCATGTCACAGCCATTCAAGTTTCAGGAAATCCGACACGCTCCTCTGGCCTTCATAGGTACTACATACATGGGGTCCATGTAACATGTGGGCAAACACTCAAACTCAGAAATTTTTAAATCTTGAGAGGGGTGGCATGGGAGAACAAGCTGAGTTGAAACTGGAATAGAACCTCCATCCACAGGAAGAAAGATACAGCACATCAATATCTTACTTTCTTTGCTGTTTTTTCAAGACAAGGTTTTTCTGTAGCTTTGGAGTCTGTCCTGGAACTAACTCTTGTAGACCAGGCTGGCCTTGAACTGAGAGATCTGCCCACCTGAGTCCCAAGTGCTGGATTAAAGGCCTGTGCTACCACTGCCTGGCAAGCCAGCACATCAAAAGACAGCACTTTACTACTTTCTAAGCTACCAAAAAGCACAATTTTATTTATTTTCAGATTGATATTTTAAATCTCAAAAATCGGATAATTTAGCGATGAAAAATAACACACCTTTTTAAAACTCATTACATTCTTTTTGCAGACCTTTTAACAGCACTAAGTATCTAACTGATTGTACTAATTGTCATGAGCTTAGGTTTAACAAAAGAGACATTGTAGTTAACTTCACACTAAAAACTTTGTACTAGTAAAGCAAGTAAGGATATAAACTATGCTAGCTAGCCCTCTTTTCCATATAAGGGAGAAAACATCTTCCTATTACCACCTCATATAAAATACTCAGTTAAGAAATTATGTGAGTCAGGTAGTCGTGGCGCACACCTATAGTCCCAGCACTCAGGCAGAGGCAGGTAGATCTCTGTGAGTTCAAGGCCAGCCTGGTCTATAGTTCCAGGACAGGCACCAAAGCTACACAGAGAATTTTTCATCTCAAAAAACAAACAAAACAAAAAAAGGAAGGAAGGAAGGGAGGAAGGGAGGAAGGGGAAAAAGAAAAGGAAAAGGAAAGGAAATTATGTGAACATGCTTTGGAGAATGAAACTGTTTGAATATGAAAAGTCTCCCATAGTCTGATATGTTAAAGGGTCTAAGTATTGAGCTGGAAAAATGGTCCAGCAGTTAAGATGTTGTCACACAAGACTGGCAACCTGAGTCCAACCTCAAGAATTCAAGTAGGGGGCTGGAGAGGTGGCTCAGCAGTTAAGAGCACTGCCTGCTCTTCCAAAGGTCCTGAGTTTAATTTCCAGCAACAACATGGTGGCTCACAACCATCTGTAATGAGGTCTGGTGCCCTCTTCTGGCCTGCAGGCATACACGCAGACAGAATATTGTATATATTATATATAAAACTGAAGGATTATGAGATTAGTGACAATAAACTAATCCTTAAGTATTTGTTTAAAAAAAATTCAAGTAAAGGTGCAAAGAGACCTAGGCCACAAGGTTGTATTCTGGCTCCACAGTCTGTGGCAGACTGGCTGGCATGCATGCATAGAGGCGCAGCACACACTAATAAATAAAAAACTTTTAGGTCTGTCAGCTCTTAGGAAGTAATTGGATCATGAGGGCTCTGACCTCATCTGTAGATTAATCCAGAGATGCAGTTATAATCTGATGGCATTTAGGGAGGTGGAAGAAACAAAAGGTAGGGCTAGGAAGTAAGTCACAGAAACAGAGCCCTTGAAAGAGAGCATCTTGTCCCTGGCTCTTTACTGTTTGATGCTCTGGTTACTACCTGTCAGATGAGCACTTTGCTCCACCACCTGCTGCATCCTGGCCATGACATTCTGCCTCATAACCTGGACCCAAAAGTAATACAACTAAGTAACCATAGGCTGAAACTTTTGAAACTGTGAACCAAAAGGAATCCCTCCTTCCCTTACTTTGTTTTCTCAGATGTTGCAACTTAGTGGGAAAAAAATAAATGTATCAATGCTCACTTTAATAGTACATATACTAAAATTGGAATAATATAGAAATTTTCAATAGGAAAATATGTAATCAATTCCATATATCTTTTTCAAAGCATAATATACTCAAATAACCTAGTAAAAGAAATCCATAATTATATTTCAATTATAAATGTTACAATTCCCAACATCTCCAATCATTGACTTCTAAAAGCAAAAGAACTAGCGATGGCTCCATGAGTTAGAGCAATTCAATACCCAGCACTGATACTGGTCATCTCACTACCACACACCGATACCTCCAGCATCAGGGGGATCTGGCATTTATGAACACCTGCACTCACATACACAGATACACACAGACATGTTTAATTAAATACACAATAAATAATTTTTTAAATAAATGGATAAAACCAGGAGTCGCCCTTCTCTAAGAAAGCCAAGGACATAGCCAGGCGATGGCGGCATACAGCTTTAATCCCAGCACTAGGGAGGCAGAGGCAGGTGGCCTGGTCTACAAAGCAAGTTCCAGGATAGCCAGGACTGTTACACAGAGAATTAAGAGTATTTTGATATAGAGAATAGGATAAAAAGAAATCTATGCAAGTGACATGATTCTTTGCTCTTATGAAGCTTTTATTTTTTTTTTAAATATTTATTTATTTACTATGTATACAATATTCTGTCTGTGTGTATATCTGCAGGCCAGAAGAGGGCACCAGACCTCATTACAGATGGTTGTGAGCCACCATGTGGTTGCTGGGAATTGAACTCAGGACCTTTGGAAGAGCAGGCAATGCTCTTAACCACTGAGCCATCTCTCCAGCTCCCTTATGAAGCTTTTATGACAAGCTTTTTATTTTAGAAATTAAACACTGAAAAGTTGAACAGCCCAGATTCAAAGTTACCAAAGTTATGACTTTTTCAAAAGTATAGTTACCTACCTCGCTCCTCGTGTCAGGAAGTGACTCCTGTGGATGGAGGCAAGTATGTGCTACCTTGATGACATGTTCCAGTTTTTTTGGCTGTTCTTCCACTTTTGCTGCTAGAAACAAGGCTGCTGGAGCCATAGACTTCATAGAAGAAAAAAAAAAAGGTCACACTTGTTATTGATTTCAAGAGAAGCTAAATATCAAACAATCAAGTCTCTGGCACATGTCATACCTCGCATTTACACTTGCCCTGGACTTTCAAATCAGACAGCAATCCCTCAAAAGATCAGGTGTGTATGTGAGGAGACTGTAGACGGAAGCTGTTCCCACTGGAAAAATCACCATTATGTTTGTTGTTTGCTTGCTTTAGGTGGGTATCTCACTGTAGAGCTCAGGATGGTTTGAAACTCAGTATTTATATTGCCCAAAATAGCCTCTAACTGGTGAAACTTCTGCCTCATTCAGCCTCTTGGATGTTGGGATAATAGGTATGAGACACCATGCCAAGGTTGTTCTTTTTTTTTTTTTTAATGGTAAATTAAAATCCTTAGAATAAGTAAATCCAGAGACAGAAAGCAGCTTAGTGGCAGAGGCTGCAGGGATAGATATGTGGTGACTGCTAATGACAAAGAATTGATACACATGTTTTCAGACCAAACACTGGTGATGGTTACCTAACTTTGTAAATATGGGAAGGGGCAGTGAATTAAAGAATTTAAAAAAAATTGGAAGCTCAGCAGATTAAGTGGGGACATACAGGAAATCCAGGTGCCGCACATCTACAACACCAGGGCTGCAGTGCAGTCATGAGTTTTAGAGGTCACCCAGTCTAGCAAAAATGGTCTGCTCTAGGTTCAGGAAGAGAACTTATTTCAAAAACATAATTGAGAACAATAGAAGACTTGGTGTCAACTTCTAGTCTCTGCCCCCTACACATAGGCAAGCACACAAATGTATTTAACAAACACTAAATAAAAATGTTTTTGTTGAGTGCGGTAGCCCACAACACCTGAAATCCCAGCACTCAGGAGGCAGAGGCAGTTAGATCTCTGAATTCAAAGATAGCTTGGCCTACATGAGACTGTCTTTAAAAAAAAAAACCAGTCAGGCAGTAGTGGTACACGCCTGTAATTCCAGCTCTAGGTAGACAGAGGCAGCATCTGTGTTCAAAGCCAGGCTGATCTACAAAGCAAATTCCAGAACAGTCAAGGCTACACAGAGGAACCCTGTCTTAAAAAAACAAAAAAAATAAAAAGTAAAAAAGCTACAAAGTATTAAACTCACAAGATAGAAAATATTTAGGAGACAAAAGATAATCAAGCCAATACGCAAGTAAAGATCTCAGAGACTAACCATGCATGATTACACAGCAATTGAAACATTGTAATACTTACTTGCAATCCTACTGCTATCTAAATTACAATTTTCTAGACTTAAGCCTGGCATGCCACAAAGATACTTACTTGCACAACCTTCCTTATCCTTTTACTCTTCTTAAAAAGCTAAAATGGAACTAGTCTAGACATCCACAGATGAATGGACTTAAACAAACAAACAAAACAACAACAACAAAAACACAGGGCCCTGGGAGTGTACCTCAACTAGCAGACTGATGTCTGATCTGTATAAAGTCCTGGGTTTGATTCCAGTCGACTCTCCTTCATTGTAATTTTCCAGGGATTGAACTCAGGTTGTCAGGTGACCATAAGCACCTTTCTCAATGTTATCCTCAAAATGGAAACCCTGTATTTCAGTCTCCTTAATACCTAGGTTTACGGGCACATGTACTTAACTCTGAGAGGAATTTTTAGACAAGTTTAGAATATAAATTTTCTTTGAAAAAAAAAAAGGAAAGAGGACTGGAGTGGTTAAGAACACTGTGTGCTCTTCTAGAAGTCGTAAGTTCAATTCCCAGTAACCCCATGGTGGCTCACAACCATCTAGAATGGGATCTGGTGCCCTCTCCTGGCATGCAGGCAGAACACTATATACGTAATAAATCAAATCTCTAAAAAAAAAAAAAAGAAAGAAAGAAATTAATACCACTTTTTTTAAAAAGGGAAAGAAAAAGATAAAACAGCTAATATTTACCAACTGTTTGCTTTGGAAAGAAACGCAGAAATTAATCAGTTTAAATCCCATCAACTCCTTTAAAAACAGGCACTATTATGCAGGCAATGGTGGCGCACACCTTTAATCCCAGCACTCGGGAGGCAGAGGCAGGAGGATCTCTGTGAGTTCAAGGCCAACCTGGTCTACAAAAGCTAGTTCCAGGACAGGCTCCAAAGCAACACAGAGAAACCCTGTCTCGAAAAACAAAACAAAACAAAACAAACAAAAACAAAACCCAGGGCACTATATTAATGAATATAAAGCCCAGAAATCAGAGGCATATGAACACCTACACAAAGTCACACAACTAGTAAGCAAATCAGAACTCTAAATCTAGACACATCTGACACCAGCATTCACACTCAGCAAATAAGGGTAAAATATATCCAATTATGTTATTAAAATATGGGTCCTTTTTTCTTTTGGTGCTATGAACTGAACCCAAAACCTAAAATGCTAAATACACACTGTACTGTGTCAGATATTTACCCCCAAGGATTTTTAAACGTAAAATACAACATAAATACAAAACAGCAGAATTTAATGACTTATCTTTCCTCACTTGAAAAGACTTAAGACAGCATATGTGGAAATTCAGTTAGTGAATCCAGAATTGAAGTGAAATGAAACAATGGGGGTGGGGGGAGGGGTGTTTGCTTACACTGCTGGGAACAGTATACTGATTTGGGGAGGGGGGTTCTCTGTATAACTGGTTGTCCTGGAACTCACTCTAGACCAGACTGTCCTCTAACTCACCGAGATCCACCTGCCTCAGCCTCCCAACTGTACCACCAGCACCCAGCTGAGAAATGATCTTTTAAACAAAGTACTAGTTTAAATACAGAGTGATGAATACTGTATGTCAAATATTGATCAATGATTACCTCTACAGGGCACAGTTTTCAGTACTGTTAAAATTTTTACCATGAGAATTTATATTTGTAATTGCTATAATGCATTAGTTATGGATCTTGGCTTACTGATACAAATTTAAGATCAATTTTGTTTTATATATATATATATATATTTCTGCTCTTGATTAAGATATTGTAATTGTGCAGCTCATTTAAAAATGTAATGTATAATTAAGAAATATAGGTTAATAAATAATCATCTATAATAGCCAAGCTTATAATCATGTTAGTTAGCTTTTTTTTTTTTTTTGAACTTTCGAGACAGGGTTTCTCCGTAGTTTTTGGTTCCTGTCCTGGAACTAGCTCTTGTAGACCAGGCTGGCCTCGAACTCACAGAGATCCGCCTGTCTCTGCCTCCTGAGTGCTGGAATTAAAGGCATGCGCCACCATCGCCCGGCTAGTTAGCTTTTCTAGATATATAGAGATATATTTCAGTTAGACAGATAATCTTCAAACTTTTCAAAGACCCACGGAATATGGCATCTAAAATGCTTTAAGAACTTAAAACTTTTCATGACAGATACATCTGCTCCTGGCAGCACCAATCTACTTCAAGAGGATGATGGGCGTGGAAGAGGCTCCTAAATGGAGTTTCCTAGCCATTTGAGCAACCAATTGCTCTTGCCTGGACTGCTTGATGTTATGCTGTATGAACTGGACATGCAGGACCCACAGAAAAATGACTGCTGAACTTGCCTAAAGGTGAGACAGTTCTTCGGGGTTCCTGCTTCATTAAAGAGTTTGCTAGACATTCTGCAGGACACAGAAGAAAGTGACGATAAACTGCAAATATAAGTGGAGCTGTCTTTAAAATTTCCTGCTTCATGGAAAAGTCTGCCAGATACTATGGGCCTAAAGGCTGAAGATTGGATGCCCCAATGGTACAGAAGAACTCTGGGTGACTGTCCAGGCAGTGAGATGTCTCTGTCAATTCTAGAGTTTTGAAAGTTGCTTATAGTGTACTTCCTATTAATATAAGTAATATTATATCCTTCTGGAGTCTTTGATGGAGTTGAAAAATAGTTATAATATTGTAACTATAATTCTTGCTTGATAACTGTTTTGCTAGGTAAATTTACTAAGTTAAAGTTAAAAACCTTCCTTTTTATCTCAACAGAAAAGGGGAGGTGATGTGGGATTCCCCTCTATATGCTGTGAATATGTTTTACTGACATTGTTTAATAACTTTGGCTAATGGCTTAATAGAATATACCCAAGCTGGAAAAGATATATAGAAAGTAAGCCATGTGGCTGCCCGCAGGAGACAGATAAACCAAAACCTTGCTAGTAAGCCACAGCCACATGGCAATACACAGATTAATAGAAATGGGTTAATTTAAGATATAAGAGTTAGCCAGGAAAAAAAAAGTTAGCCAGAAATATGCTTAAGCTATTGACCAAACATATTGCAATTAATACAGATTTCTGTGTGACTATTTCAGGTCAGAGCAGTGGGGAAACGAACTAGCAGCCTCCCCCAACATGTAATAATAAAAATTCACAAGGCAGCTAGCAAGATAGCTCAGCAGCCTAATGTGCAGCTGCCCAAACTTGACAAGCTGAGTTTAATTCCCCAGAACCCATGCAGGAAAAGAGAACCAAACCTGTCCTCTGATCGCGTATGTGCACACGGGGGATTAAAGTTGTGTGCCACCACCACCCGGCCTGCCATGATGTTTTAAATCCTCTCAAATTTAATTTTAATTTATCATAGTTAAATCCAACTTATAAGAGTAGCATTTTGATGTGCTAATTCCAAAATATACAAAAAAAAAAAATCAATACTCTAAACATCAACTACTTTAAAAGTTAGGGCACCAACTGTGGTCGTGTTTGCTTTTAATACCAGCACTCAAGAGACAAAAGCAAGTGAATTTCTGACTTCAGGCTACATGTGAGGTCAGGGCTACTAGTGAGGCCCTTTGTCAAAACAAGACACAAATAAAAACAAAGGATATAATATCCAAAAGGATGTTTAATTAAATGATAATCAGCTCATTCGTTAATTCTTCCAGCTTACTGCAGGTACTTTGAAAATAAACAGATTAATGTCTGTCTTAACTAAAGTTAACACACAGGCAATAAGAGATCATGTCACTTAAATAAAAAGGACATATATACTAAACCCAAAAATACAGACTGAACTGAACAACCTGATTTAAGATTCCACTCTAAATTTCAAATCTATTTTTTTTTTCTTTCTTTCTTTTTTCTTTCTGTAGCTGTGGAGCCTGTCCTGGAACTAGCTCTTGTAGACCAGGCTGGTCTCGAACTCAGAAATCCACCTGCCTCTGCCTCCTGTGTACTGGAATTAAAGGTGTACATCACCACCGTCTGGTTTAAATTTCAAATCTTTGTTGCAATAAAAGAGAAGACTCAGCAGGTGTTGCGCCTGCTGCCCTTAATGCCAGGCAGTGCTTGGAAAATCAAGGCCAGAATTAAATCAAGTCCAGCCATGACTGCATAGTGAGACCCTAATATCAAAGAAAAAAAAAATTGGCCAGGTGTCTCACGCCTTTAATCCTAGCACCCACGGCAGGCAGATCCCTGTGATTTTCAGGACAACCAAGGCAACACAGATAAACCCTGCCTCAAAAAGAGACGGAAAGCTGAACATAGAAAATTTTCAAAACTACTAAGATAGCCGTGGAATTCCTCTTTAATTTCATTCTTGATTCATTACATCTGTTTCAGTGCTATTAGATAGCTTCAATAAAGGCTAATTAGAAATATGGGAGTTAAGGGCAGGAAAAAGTCAAACTGACTAATCACTCAAAATTATCAATACTTACCTAAAGATTCCAAGAGTTTCATGTTACTCCTAAGTCTGATTCTGCCAATTTCTTACATTACAGCAATTATAATTACCTTCACAAAGTGTATCAAAACAAAACAATTCCAAATGTCTTATCTGGGTTGAAGACGCTCAGAACTTTGACTCCCAGCACCCACCTAGGGTTGCCCACAGTTGCCTGGGGCTCCAAGGAATTCAGCGTCCTCACCTACCCTCTGTGGGCACTGCCACAAAACACTCAAAAAATAAAATTATTTATTTTTAGATGCATTAACCTAAAATTTCGAACATGTTTCTTCAAAGACTTTAAAAAATAATGGTAGAATATATGACCCACTAATCCACACGGTCTGTTCAGGTCAACCTTTATTACCTTAGGGTTTTGTCTGTTTAAGAAAGGGTTTCCTCTACAGAGAAACCCTGTATGGGCCCTGGCTACCCTGGAACCTGACTTGTTTACCAGGCAGGCCTTGAACTCAGAGATCCACCTGCCTCTGAGTGCTGGGATTACAGAAAGGCGTGCACCACCAGCGCCCGGCTTTCCCTTGGGATTTTAATTAAAGAGTCTTACCTGCAACTGAAATATCGCTATGTACTCACTCCCAAATCACCAAATGTTAAATAGACCAGTTAACAAAGCTGAAAATAGCACCATATTTACAACTTTGTCCAAGAAAAAGCATCCTTTTATTCCTACTCTTCCCCATTCCTAAGTCATCTCCCCAGGTACTACCACGTAATGCATCTTTCCCTCCAGCTGCCCATTGGATTTTACCAAAGGTTTTGCAAAATCTAACTGACATTTGTCTTCTTATGGCCATAAACTTAAGACGCTAGACTCAAATCATTATTTTTTGACCTTAAAATGACCAGCCCTAAATTCTAAAATTAAAATCCTAATCTAATAACAACCAATCATACGACAGCTAGAACCAACCCCAAAAGGATTATACTCCATACAAAATTGTACTTACATAGCGATGAAACTGTGTAAAAGATTGAATCATATAGAACCGGTGCATGTATACTATAGCAGTGTTGATAGTCAGTTGTGAGCTGAATTGCTCAAGTTAAGGTTCAATAACGGACAATATAATCTCCCCCTCCCCCAAAAAAAAGCAAAGCACAGTAGACAACAATCCTACACAAAAGTAACAGTCACCGCGTCAAACCAAATAGCAGGTTTGTTTCCCTTCACTAAGGTATTAACTGCCAATTGACAGCGTGTCTTTTACCTATTAAGTGCTTCATACAAACTTAATGACTGAATAAATAAAACAAGTGGCAACGTATAAATCAATATGCAGTATAAGCACAGCTACATAGGATTTTAAACCTTCCTGCCATGTCACTTGCCTTCTGCAAGTTCAGGATATCTTTCATTACATACACTTTTGGAGGGGAGACACACACCAAAGCATGAGTGTGGGGGTCAGCGTGCAACTAGCAGGAGTCAGTTATCCGTCCACTCTATATGCGCCACAGGGATAGAACTCAGGTCATCAGGTTTGGTGGTAAGCGCCTTTACCTGCTGGGCCATCTTTTCTGCCCAAGGATAACAAACTCCAGAAATCAGTTTTTCAGTTCTACTTTTTTTCTTTCTTCCTTTTTTGGGGGGAGTTGGAGGATGGGTGGGTATGAGGGTATTTCAAGGCAGGGTTTCTGTGTAGATCAGGCTGTCTCCACCTCCTGAGTGCTGGGATTAAAGATGTGCACCACCATACCCGGCTTAGTTCTACTTCTTTCAGAAAATATCTTGGCTCCTGAACGTATGTTTGAAAAGTCTTGATGGTAATCCACTGTAAATAAACTCCTTCCTTCCTCCCACTAATCCAGTCTCTCATTTGTATGGGTATACCTCCAAAGTGGGCGGGGGGGGGGCACACGGGGACGGAACACCTTATTCCCACAGACCTCAAAAACAAGCAACAATCTGTATAGAGAAGACAGTATGATGGTAACAAGCTTAAACACACTTTAAAAAGGAGCCTTAGCCAGGTGGCAGCGGCACAGGCCTTTAATCCCAGCACTTGGGAGGCAGAGACTGATAGAGCTCTGTGAGTTCAAGGACAGACTGGTCTACAAGAGCTAATTTCAGGACAGGTGCCTCCCCCCCAAAAAAAGGTGCCTTAAACATATAAAGAAACTCAGAGGTTTAATTGTGCACTGACTGAAAGCTTGGGATGGCCAAAAAAGGGGACACCTATTTGGAAGAAATATAGCCCTTAAAACCTAAACATTATAGTCAGAACTTTTTTTTTATCCTGCCTCTACCTCCCCAATGCTAGGATCAAAGGTGTACGACACCACACCTAGCTCTCAGCATCACTCTTTAAAGGCTACATAAGTTGAAGCTGCAGCTAAAAGAAAATTATATATGAAATGCAAAGAGTTTTTAAACTATTAGTTTTGACACAGATGACTGTTTTCTGAAGAAAAAAACGGGGGAGGTAGAAGTTATCACTAAATTATCTTATCTTTGAAATGTGAAAACGATGAATAATCTATAGGACCCCAAGAAACAAAAACTTAAAACTCGCCAAACTACTTAAAACATTATATATTCATACCTAGACTACAAACTACAAACCTGAGTTGACATCTTTCCTTCCTCTTAAATTCTACAAAACAGTTACTAGACCATCTGAATCTCAGGGTTTTGGCGGACACAGAAAACCAAGAATTAACAGGTTAAAACAGCTAGTAAGTGGGAGAAAAGGGTTTGGAACCAAAGCTGGGACGCTAATTCTAGACCACCTTCATAAGCCCCGTCGGGTACAGAATTTTCCGAAACCTTTTTTACACACTGGGAGGCAGCGTCAACCGTGAAACCTCTTAAAAGGAGCCTTTGCTCACGGCAGAAAGGAGACTCTAAAAAGTCACTAAAACAAGTCAGAATTCGGAGGAGAGGGGCTGGGAAGGAGTGGCGAACGCACAAAGACGGGAGAGGTCCGAATTCCCAGCCGGGCTGGTGGCACCGGTGAGCGAGCGGGAAATTGACTCCGCCTCACTTCCCTCGCGCGAACAGTGGCTCAGCCAGCGCCATTGTGGGCTCTCCCCACTAGACGTCCAGCTCCTGCCACCTTACCTACTCCTGTCCCCTCCAGCGTGCCCGGCCTGACGCCGAAGCGTGGCCGGACGGGCTCCAAGGCCGAAGGCCTAGGCCGCAAGGATACACGTTAAGACGTTGTCCCATGTCCTGGAGTAGATTGGCCGCCTGCTGGCGATAAGATAGTTCTTTATCTGAGTCCACGCCGAAACGACGCGACGGGCTATTTTCCAGCTGTTCTCGAGTAAAATACCACCGTTTGTTGTTCTTCCTCTCTCCCTCCATAGTGCTTCAACCAAAAGGCAGCGGCGGGGGCTGCAAGCACTTCCCAGCGTCACCTAAGCGGCGACACACATCCGCTGTGCCGAGACAACTGCGACGTGACGAACTTCCTCCTAGAGCCGACTGCCAGGCTGTGACACACTTCCGCCCAGGAAGCAGAAGATTCAAGCGCCTACTTCCGGAATGAACCCTCCGAAACCCTGTAGACCAATCAACAGCCAATCAGCGACTGGGACCGAAGTCACGGCCAGGACGCAGGCGCGGGTCACGTGACCCCGGGGCGCTCTTCAAAGTTGTTCTTTGAAAAATCTCGCCGTTCCCCGCGATAACTGTGCCGAGGCCGCCTTGCCGATGGCCTCTGCCTGCCGCCTGCCACACTGCCTGGGTCTTTCTCGAAAAGCTAGTGATGGAGGCCCCTTTATAAAAGTAGGCTAGCCGGGCGGTGGTGGCGCACGCCTTTAATCCCAGCACTCGGGAGGCAGAGGCAGGGGGATCTCTGTAAATTCGAGGCCAGCCTGGTCTGCATAGAGCTAGTTCCGCGACAGCCAGGGTGCTACACAGTGAAACCCTGTCTCGAAAATCCAAAATAAATAAATAAGTAAAATTAGTGTTACTAATTTCAATGTGTTTGGGTGCTTTTACTTGACGATAAGGGTAACAAGACCGTTTTCTCTTTTTACTTTTGCAGGGAAAGCGATATGCTCGCCAGTGCAGATTCCAAACGTTCAGTTAGGTCCCAAAGGTATGCCAGGCGCCAGAATGCCGGCCAGATCAATAGTTCTAGGAAACCCAAACCTTAGGGAAAGATTATCTAGCGAAAGAGAACAAGAGATAATTTGTGTGCTGGACTCATTGCTAGGTCCACTTTGTGGGGCTGTAAAAAGCAAGCTGGGCTGCTGTCTCCCTCACCCTCCTGTCCACTCTAGGGCTTCTCTGTTCCCAGGCTTCTGTCGCTGTGTTCGACTCAGTTCTGATGTTCACACTATCTCAAATCACAGATCTATGAGTGGCCCCACTGTTGTTTACCAGGAGCCCACCGTACCCACCATTGGACCATCTCAAAGATTTGGGGCTTTGGTTTTTGCTCTAGAAGGCCTCTGGGACTTTTGTGTATGGATGTGTTGAGTGAGGGACCCCTCGAGATGGCTCAGCAGGTAGAGGAGGCTGCTGCCAACACTGACAACCTAAATTCCATCCCTGGAACCCCGTAGTAGATGAAAGGAGAGGACTGACCTACAAGGTGTCCTCTGACTGCCCCAAACGCACTGAGGCACATACAGGAACAGTAAATAGTTTAGAAGTAGCCAAGTAGCCGAGGATCTGCTAATGCATGAACTAAAACTGCCTCTACAGTGTGGAAAGTTCCACCACTACGTGTAAAATCTCTAAATTCAGGCCTCTGGGTTATTAGACCAGCTCCAGGTCTAATGGCTTTTCCACCTAAGCAAGCTAATTAACCCCTCTTAGCCTGCCCTCCCTGCAGTTGCCCCTTCAACTACAGTGGAGACTGAACTTAGATCCTTGTGCTTATGCTGGGCAAGTACTCTACCACCTAACTAGGCAGCCCTGCTTGATTTGTTCTTTTAAATTGGCTAAATTGGTCTTGAACTTACTACATAGGCCAAGTAGGCAGGCATTGAGCTTGTGAACCTCTGTGCTCAGCTTCCTACATGTTCTTCCATGATTATCAAGTTCATAATGTTTATATTTGTGGTATGCCGGGCGATGGTAGCACACACCTTTAATTCCAGCACTTGGGAGGCAGAGGCAAGCGGATCTCTGTGAGTTCGAGGCCAGCCTGGTCTACAAGAGTTAGTTCCAGGTTAGGGTCCAAAGCTACAGAGAAACCCTGTTTCAAAAAAACAGCAACAAAAAAATTGTAGTATAGGGCAGGGTGTGGTGGTCCACTCCTTTAATCCCAACAGTCAGAAGGCAGGAAGATCTCTTGAGTTCAAAGCCAGCCAGTAGGTTTACTCACATCACAGTGAAAGACTAAAGGTCAGAGGACAAATTTAAGATGTTCTTTCTACCACGCAATCCAAAGATTGGACACAAGGTCATCAGGCTTAGTGGCAAGCACCTTTTACCCACTGAGCAATCTCACTGATCCTCAAATGAAGTTTTTAAATAAAACTTGGGTTTTACCAAAGCCTAACCATGAGAGATAGGAATTAGCCAACTTCAGTTTTCTCTACCCTTGCTCTATTATGTAAGGTAGAAGAAACGTTAAACATTTAAGGTCACTGCCCAGGGAGGAACATGCTTAGCAGAAGACTGGGAAGTCCAGCTAGGCAGATGGTCAGTCAGTATTGTCCTTGTGCAGAAGAATGAGAACCTGAGTTCAGGTCTCCAGCACCCATGCAAAAAACTGGGCACCACACCAGTAATCCCAGAGTTGGGGAAACAGAAAGAAGAATCCTAGGTTTGATGGCGGGACAGTCTAGGCAAATTGATGACCCTTCACATACAGTAAAAAGCCCTTTCTCAAGTGGCCTCCAGCACCTGCATCTGCAGCAAACAGTGAAAATCTCCAAAGCCTAGCCATTTAAAGATAAAACCTGAGCCTTGTGTAACATGTTCTGTTCAAGCTTGAAAAGCAAAACCTGGAAGCATCAGAACCAGGTACTCACAGTGAGATCTTAGGATTTCAGATTGGGAATTTAAAATAACTTGATAACTAGGCAGGGCAGAGTGGGACTCACCGTTAATCCCAGCACTTGGGAGGCAGAACAGACAGATCTCTGAGTTTGAGGCCACCCTGGTCTACAGAGTGAGTTCCAGGACAACCAGGGCTACACAGTGAGGTTAGGAAGGAGACGGGGCTGGAGAGATGGCTTAGTGGTTAAGAGCACTGGCTGTGCTTCCAGAGGACCTGGGTTCAACTCCCAGCACCCACATGGCAGCTCACAGATATATATATATATATAGCTCCATTTCCAGGGGATCTGGAATCTTCATACAGAGATACATGCAAGCAAAATAGCAATGCACATAAAAATAAATAAATTTGACTGGGCGGTGGTGGCGCACGCCTTTAATCCCAGCACTCGGGAGACAGAGGCAGGTGGATCTCTGTGAGTTCGAGGCCAGCTCTGGTCTACAGAGCGAGCTCCAGGACAGGCTCCAAAGCTATAGAAAAACTCTGTCTCAATGAAGGAAGGGAGGAAGGAAGAAAGGAAGGAAGGAAGGAGATAGCGGGTATTTGGAGGAGTTGAATGGAAATAGTGGGGGGGTGTATATGATCAAAGTATATGGTACAAATGTATGAAATTTTCAAAGAATATTGTTTGGTTTGGTTTTTTTTTTTTTTTGGTTTTTCGAGACAGGGTTTCTCTGTGGCTTTGGAGCCTGTCCTGGAACTAGCTCTGTAGACCAGGCTGGTCTCGAACTCACAGAGATCCGCCTACCTCTGCCTCCCGAGTGCTGGGATTAAAGGTGTGCGCCACCATCGCCCGGCTGGTTTGGTTTTTTTTATGCTTTTATTTTTTGGATTTTGGGGACAAGGTTTCTCTGTGTAACCATTCTGACTGTTCTGGAACTTGATTGTACACCAGGTTGGCATCGAACTCACAAATACCCATCTGCTGCTGCTTCTTCCTGAGTTCTGGGATTAAAAACATGAGCCACCACAGCCTGGCAGAAACACCTTTTTTTAGAAGGTAATCATACCTGATTCCTCAAGTTTCCTGAAATTGTTTAGCCCACTCAATTCCAACTCCATGATGACCTATAAATCCTGAGCCTCACTGGACAAAGGAAATGTCAGTCAAGGTAATTCTTCAAGGCATTACTATGGTTACTAGAACCCAGCACTACAGAGTAGACATTCTGAAAAGGAGGCACTGAGATGGCTTTCTTCAACTTACATCTATTAGGATATCAGCATCCCCTTCGGGATAAAAAGAAAACCACAACTGAAGAAACAGGTAAGGAGAATCTAGTGTGGCGGGACGGAGGGCCAAGCCCAGTCACCTCCTAGTCATTTCCTTTCCTGGCAGGTTCCCGAGAGATGTCACCGCAGTTAAATTACACAGCAGGACAGAAGCCATTCGACTTGACTTTCTGTTACTTCATATTCTTATTAAGATAAATACTTTGTTCAACCAAATAATCTAATTCATCTAGCCAGCATTGATTAACACCAACTAATCATGGGTCTGTGGTTTATGTTGGTGACTAAGGGCACAAAGATGGATAGAAGAAAGCCTCTGCTACTGTTATTAGTCAGAGCTTTCTTATAGAATGAATACATTTATTGGAATGACTAACAGGTTACAGTCCAACTAACCCAACAGTGGCTACCTGTGAATGGAAGTCCAAGTAGCTGCTCAGTCCCACGAAGGTGGGTGTCTCAGCTGGTCTTCTGTGTATTCTGGAATACTGAAGTAGGCTCCAATGCCAGGAAAGGAATGGGCATATTGGGAAAGCAAGGGCAAGCAGACAAAGAACAGATGAACCCTTCCTTCTTCCAGTGCCCATATATAAGTCTCCAGTAGAAGGTGTGGCACAGGTTAAAGGTGTGTCTTCCTGCCTCAAGAACTGGATTAAAGGCATGTGTCATCCAGCCTCAAAATCTGGACCAGAAGCCTATGTCTTCCCGCCTCAGGATCCAGAACAAAGGTCTGTTGTCTTTTTGCCTCAAGACCCTTGTACAAATGTGCCCTCCATTTCTGGATTGTCGTTTATTACAGATATAGTTAAACTGACAACCAAGAATAGCCATCAAAACTATAGAGTAGCTGACTATCTAATGAGGAAGATAAGTAGTCATATAAAATTTGTAATATAGAGCCGAGCGGTGGTGGCGCACGCCTTTAATCCCAGCACTCAGGAGGCAGAGGCAGGCAGATCTTCATGAGTTCGATGCCAACCTGGTCTACAGAGTGAGTTCCAGGACAGGCCCCAAAGCTACAGAGAAACTACGTCTTGAAAAACAAACAAAAACAACAAAGGAAGACTTAAGAGACATTCTCATAGGAAATGTCTCCAGAAACAAGTGTGAAAGTTGATTGAAGTTAATCAGGTAAATAAGAAGGGAATTAGCACTGAAAAGAGAATACTTAGATCCATATTAAGTAAATCCCAAGAACTTAGACACAATGAAGGGTAAAGTAGGTACTAGGAAGCAGACCTTGAAAACAAGGCCAAGGCCAGCTAATTGAGGGTGCTACCAACCTTAAGAAGTATTTTAATTTTATAGAGAACCATTGAAAAATTTAATGATTTGATTGCATTATATTTACAGTGCCTGTCAGGCCTCATAGAGATGTTGTAAGATTTTTTTTAATCACAATGTGAACCCCAAGATTGCATTAGTTACTGGAAAAATAGCTGTTTCTAGTTATGATGTGGCTCAGCCCTAGCACACACCTTTAATCCAAGAGCTTTCTGCTTGAATATTGTAAACAAGATCAAAGTCAATCATAATTTAAGTGCAGAGCAAACAACCAGTTGACAGGAAGTAGACATAGGATTATGAAGAAAAAAACATAGAGAGCAAGAGGGAGTCAGGAGGATGGATAGAGAGATGCACGGGAAGTAGAAAAGAGGGACATCCAGTTTGGGGAGGGTGGTTGAAGACAGTATAGGAGAAGGCTTCTGGGACATGGCTGAGGAGGAAGGTCAGCTGGGTGCTTTCTCTGCCTCTCTGAGCTAGCAGGCTTTTGCCCCAGCGTCTGCCTCTGAGTCTTTATTGTTAAAAACAAACAATTGAGATTTTGTTAAAAAACAACATTTGGGCAGAGTAGTGGTGGTGCAGCCTTTAATCCCAGCACTCAGGAGGCAGAAGCAGGTAGATCTCTGTGAGTTCGAGGCCAGCTTGGTCTACAGAACTAGTTCCAGTTCAGCTAGGACTGTTACACAGGTTTGCAGAGAAACCCTGTCTCAAAAAAAAAAAACAATAAATAAATATAAATAAATAAATATAAATAAATAAATAAATTTGGTGTGGCACAACCACACAGACAGAGAAATTATGCCAGCTTGGACAAACTGAGAAGCCATCAGAGTTGGTAAGACACCTAGGTTGTCCTCAAGGAGAGAGTCAAATAATATTAAAAGGAAAAAACCTTTCCCACATTAAGGATGGGAAATATCATAGCATGGGGCATTAGAACCCAGTATAATGCTACTTTAGATGACTTGAAAATAAAAGCAGAAAATGAAAAAAAATCAATGACATAACTGAGGTTGACATAATACCAATTATAATTACTACCAATCTGGTAATTCATATTATATCCTTAATAGCCATGGTGCTTTTTGTGCTAAATATGAAAAGTGGATTGACAAGATACAAGCCTTAGAAAGACTTATATGAAAATAAGAGAAATACTCAGACACAGACAGAGGAATTAGACAAGAACCTACCACACCACTACATTATAAAACTGAAGAGGGGCAGCCTAATGTTGTTAGAAAACCAACTTTAGTTTATCCAATTACTATGCAAGAATGACCAGCAGATGGACAGGCACCCCCAAAGTTATGAAGACGTTAAATGGAATTCTATAGAAACATTCTCTTTGAAGAGATTTAAGAAAGCAGTCATTTCTTAGGATATTCATTCACCCTGTGTAAAGCAGACGTTAAATTCATGGGCAACTCGGACGAGAATTATCCTCTAAGACTGGAAAGATTTGGCAACAGCAATATTGGAACCTGGTCCGAGTTACAGTGGCAAACATGGTGGGAAAGGGAAGCTAGGGCCATTGAACAACAAAACACATAAACTTGGCACAAGCTAGACTTATCTGGAAGGAGGGAACCTCAATAGAGAAAATGCCTCCATAAGATCTGTAGGACGTTTTCTTAATTAGTAACTGATGGGAGGGCCAGGCCCACTGTGAGTGGTGCCACCCATGTGCTGATGGTCCTGGGTCCTATAAGAAAGCAGGCTGAGTAAGCCTTGAGGGGCAAGCCAGAAAGCCCCACCCCTCCGTGGCCTCTGCATCAGCTCCTGCCTCCAGGTTCCTGCTCTGCTTGAGTTCCTGACCCAACTTCCTGCAGTGATGGACTGTGATATGAAAATGTAAGTCAAATTAACCCTTTCCTCCCCAGGTTGCTTTGGTTGTGCCCACGTGGTAGGAGGTAGAGGCAGGTGGACCTCTCTGAGTCCCAGGCCAGCCTGGTCTACCGAGCTAGTTCCAGGATAGCTAGGGCTGTTACACGAAGAAACCCTGTCTAGAAAGAAAAAAAAAAAAAAAGTTGCTTTGGTCATGCGGTGTTTTATCACAACAACAGCGACCCTGGTGAGGACAGTCCTCTGTGAGATGCTCCTACTTACCCACTGTGGTGTGGTAGCATCAGAGGCCAAAGCTTTGCTCAAACTGGTGACCTAGACAGAATTTAAGGCTAGAGGAAAGACTGAACTGCAAATATACTATTCTTGCCCACTGCTTACTTCCCCTAGCTTCAGTTTTATACATTCTGGGTACTCGTTTAAGATACAGACTATGCTGGGGGGCTGGAGAGATGGCTTAACGGTTAAGAGCACTGGCTGCTCTTCCAGAGGATCTGAGTTCGATTCCCATGGTGGCTCAGAACCATCTGTCATGAGATTTGGCGCCCTCTCCTGGCCTGCAGGTGTACATGCAGTGCACTCGTATATAAAATATAAATAAATAATTTAAAAAAGGATACAGACTATGCTGAGATGATCGACCATGATAAAGTGTTTGTTGTGGAAACCCGAGGACCTGAGTTTGAATCCTCAGCATCCACATAACACATAACATCCACACAACTGTAAACCCAGCACTGAGGGATATGAAGTCAGGCAGACCTGCAGGGCTCACTAGTCAGCCCGAACCAGAAGGGTGAGGTCAGGTTCACTGAGAGAATGTTTTAAAACATCAAGGTGGGGGAACTAGAGAGAAGGCTCAGAGAGATGCTCTTACAGAGGACATGGTTCAATTCCCAGCACCCACATGGCAGCTCACAACCATCTGCAATTCCAGTCAGTCCAACAGATCCATCACTCTCTCCTGATCTCTGCAGGCACCAGACACACAAAAAAGTGCACAGACAAACATGCAGGCACAGCAATCATACACATAAAAATTAAATTTAAAAAATCAAGGTGGAGAGCAATAGAAGATACCTGAAGTTGGCCTCTGCCCTTCTCTCTCTCTCTCTCTCTCTCTCTCTCTCTCTCTCTCACACACACACACACACACACACACACACACACACTCATACACACACACATATACACGTATACAGACGCATACAAATGCGTGCCAATGCAATGCTCACACCTAGACACACGTATGAACATATGCACACACACTTTCATACATATGCATATACCATATACACACAAATATACAGACATATGAAATCAGGTGTGGTGGCTCATACCTCTAATCTCAGAATTTAGGAGACTGGGCTGGAGGTCACAAATTCAAGACCAACCTACAAAGTGAAGTTTGGCCAACAGACTGCCATGTCTCAAACACACAAAAAATATACAGACAGATGATTTCCACTTAGTAATTTTTTTAGTTTTTATTCTATGGGTATGAGAGTTTTGCCCATTTCTGAGTCTTTTTGCCATGATGTCTGTGTTTTTCTCATTCATTAACTAATCTTCAAGTCACTGGCAATCCTTGGCTCTCCATTCTGTTTAAGAGGGGACAGAAAAGAGGATGTGGGGGCTCAATATTACAACCTCTTTTTCTGGGGGTGGGTAGGTTTTAAGATAGGATTTCTCTGCGTAGCTGTGGCTGTCCTGGAACTTGCTCTGTCTCACAGAGACCTTCCTGCCTCTGCCTCCCAAGTGCCAGGATTAAAAGCCTGAGCCACTATCACCCAGCTTCACAACTGTAATCTCAATATTCAGGGGGCTGAGGCACAGGGTTATTACAAGACCTAGCTATATGCTGTGTTCTACTCTATCCTAGGTGACAAAATAAGATTCTTGTCT